CCAGCAATTGTGCTCCACTACATTCAACATGGTTTTCATCTTGATAAGACACATGAGACAGTTTCTGAGGTATTTGATGTGTTAAAGTCGTATATTTTGGAGGATAATATTGGACCCTTATCTGTCGCACTGATTATTCAGATTTCATCCATCTGTTAATTTGGATTTAAGTTTAAAATCAACTTTCTGGTCCGGGCTTTCAGGTTAAAATTTAAGACAGCTCTTTACAAACTGTTCTTAAGGGCATCAAGCTCTGTTATTTTGTCTCCTGCAGATTGTTGAATATTGATATATTTATTTAGGGCATTTCTGTCCCATCCTTCTCAACCTCCGCAGAGGGACTCAGGACGGCTACCAACCGGCACAGTACAGTGCCCACACACAACAAAGCAAAGTTACAATAAAACAGATATAAATATGTTATAGTAAGTCGTAACAGGATTATTTGTGTGTGTTTTAAAGAAAACCTTATACTGTTTATTATTAGGTGCAGCTGTTAAGGTAGGTCAACTAGTAAGTTTAGACCACACCTGATGGGGTATAACTGTATGGGTTTTAGAATACAGTTCAGCTTTTGCTCTGAGGAGCCTTTGCTCAGACATTTTGCTCAACCATTTGTACTGCTCTCTCATTTGGATGAAGATTAAGAAGCCTTATCCTGTATTGCTTACAAGGACAATGCAAGTTTGTTGCACTCTTTGTTTTTGTTTGCAACACTGCAAGTTTATGTTTTAACTCTGCTGATAAGAGTAAAGTTTCTCTGTTCTCTTTCCTCTTGCCTGTGTGCAGTGTTATTATGTCTTCTGCAGTGGACCTGACTGAAACCCGTGATTCGCAACAACCTATCCGCAGAGGGACTCAGGACGGTTACCAACCGGCACAGTACAGTGCCCACACACAACAAAGCAATGTATGAAAACACATGTTACAATAAAACAGATATAAATATACATTAAAATCATTTTGCCAATTTCAGTCGTCATCCTAAAAACCTAAAAACAGTCCATCATAGTCCATTAAACAATGTATTTACCAGCAAATCAAGTCTATTCTGCAAATGCCTGATCCCACAACCAGGATTTCAGTTTCTTCTGGGAGGTTAGGGGCAGACCTGATCTCATTCGGGAGGGAGTTCCACAGCCAAGGTGCCACCACGGAGAAGGCTCTGTCTCTTGTTCTTGCCAGACGCGATTGTAATGGTTTATAGGCTTAAGCCAGCACTTTTAATTGTGCTCAGAAGCTAATAGGCAGCCAATGGAACTGGCATAGCAAGGCTGTTGTGTGCTCCTGATACCCTGCTCCCGTAAGCAACCTGGCTGCCAAGCATTGGACTAGTTGGAGCTTCCGAACAGTCTTCAGAGGCAACCCCACGTAGAGTGTGTTCCAGTAATCTCTTTGGAAGGGTCCATTTGTTTTGTAAGTTGCTGAATTAAGCTATATTTTATTTTTGAATGCTGAAGGACTATATTTTCTGCTACATCTGGATAAAGCTGTTTATTTTCTTCTCTATTGAAACAGTGCTGTAAAGAGTAAAGGAATTTTCTTTTTGCACAAACTTACTGTGACCTTGGTGTCATTTTGTCTTCAAGGGCACTACAGTGGACTTTACGTTTGGTGCTATAGAGGAATATATTGTTTTCTGGCACTAAACGCAACAATGTCTACATGTTCAGAGGCATGTGTCCGATGAAAAGGTCTAAATGCTTTGCAAGCTTGCATATTTTGGTGTAATAATGTTATTGGGTTAGATCCAAGTCTAGTCATTAAAACCAACAGGACTGAAATGAGTATGACTGAGTTATAATGCAATACAATGCATGGTAAATAATTGCTGGCACCTCACAAAAGACCCCATAGCCTGTGTACAGGACATGATTCATAAAGGAAGGACCACCCCCCACTTCCAGGTGTTGCTTAACTACAGCTCCCAGCATTCTTTCCCACTGACTATGCTGCCTAGCACTGAGAAGAGTTCCAATCCAGCAATAACTGGAGAGCCACACATTGCCATTTCTGGCATAAAGGCAAGAAATGTGTGGAATGTCAAAAGCAACTCATACAGAGAAACAACATTTTTATACTTATGTTCCCTACATTCCATCATATGATTGTCTTCTGTGCTGACAAGTTGGATGTTCTTGAACAGGAAGTTATGTGTGGCGTAGATATTACTTTTTAGATATAAGAATTTTGAGCAGTGAGGCATGACCCATCCGAGAGTGATGCTGTAATCCTATACCAGTGGTTCTCAACCTTCCTAATGCTGCGACCCCTTAATACTGTTCCTCATGTTGTGGTGACCCCCAGCCATAAAATTATTTCCGTTGCTAGTTCATAACTGTAATTGTGCTGCTGTTATGAATCGTAATGTAAATATCTGATATTCAGGATGCATTTACATTCACTGGACTACATTTGTCACAAATACCCGATATGCCCAAATTTGAAAACTGGTAGGGTGGAGGGGGGGTATTGATTTTGTCATTTGAGAGTTGGAGTTGCTTGGATTTCTAGTTCACCTACAATCAAAGAGCATTCGGAACTCCACCAATGATGGAATTGAACCAAACATGACACACAGAACTCCCATGACCAACAGAAAATCCTGGAAGGGTTTGGTGGGCATTGACCTTGATTTTTGGAGTTGTAGTTCACCTACATCCAAAGAGCACTGTGGACTCAAACAACGATGGATATGAACCAAACTTGACACGAATACTCAATATGCCCAAATGTGAACACTGGTGGAGTTTGGGAAAATAAGACTTGACACTTGGGAGTTGTAGTTGCTGGGATTTATAGTTTACCTACACTCAAAGAGTATTCTAAACCCCACCAACGATAGACTTGGGCCAGACTTGTGATGAGGTGGCAAAAAAAGCCAACCGGAAAGTCATGCTACCCCTCTATTCTGCCTTGGTTAGACCACATCTGGAAAACTGTGTCCAATTCTGGGCACCACAATTGGAGATGTTGACAAGCTGGAATGTGTTCAGAGGAGGGTGACTAAAATGATCAAGGGCCTGGATAACAAGCCCTATGAAGAGCCGTTTAAAGAGCTGGGCAGGTTTAGTCTGAAGAAGAGAAGGCAGAGAGGAGACAGGATAGCCATGTATAAATATATGAGAGGAAGTCATATAGAGGAGGGAGCAAGCTTTTTTACTGCTGCCCTGGAGACTAGGACATGGAACAATGGCTTCAAACTACAAGAAAGGAGATTCCACCTGAACATTAGGAAGAACTTCCTGACTGTGAGAGCTGTTCAGCAGTGGAACTCTGCCCCGGAGTGTGGTGGAGGTTCCTTCTTTGGAGGCTGGATGGCCATCTGTCAGGGGTGCTTTGAATGCGATTTTCCTGCTTCTTGGCAGAGGGTTGGACTGGATGGACCACAAAGTCTCTTCCAACTCTAGGAGTCTATGATTTCCCACACAGAACCCCCATGACCAACAGAAAATACTGTGCTTTCTGATGGTCTTTGGTGACTACTCTGACACCCTCTTGTGACCCCTCCCCCCAGGTGTCCCGACCCCCAGGTTGAGAAACACTGTAATATACACTTTCACTAGCAATTGCGCCCGACTACAATCAACATGGTTTTTATCTTGATAAGACACATCGACTGTTTCTGATGTGTTAAAGTTGTATATTTTGGAGGGTAATATTGGACCCTTATCTGTTACACTGATTATCCAAATTTCATCTATTTGTTAATTTAGATTTAAGTAAGAGGCAAAATCTGTTTAAAATCAACTTTCTTCCAGATTAAAATTTAAGACAAGAACAGCTGTATTTATTTATTTATTTATTTATTTACAACATTTATATGCCGCCCTTCTCATCCCGAAGGGGACTCAGTATGGCAAAACTAACTGGTTTATTGTGGCACAGACTTTGACAGACAACAACTTACTCCATACCTGAGGCAGGAAGGAGAGAGAAAAGCTGTTAAGATTACATTCACTTTAGACCCACCACTGGATAAACCGATCCGATATCCTGTGGGTCTGGCTTTTCAGCACCTCCACAGCTTGTGGAACGAGAACAGAAAAGGCAGGCCATTGAACACACTGTTTGCTTGTTGCTTTGGGAACAGTTCTTGCAAACCAAACACATTTCAAAAGAAAGGACCTAAGTCTAATGAGAAATCATGCCCAGATTTAAACTTTCTGTGCTGCCTGTTGTGGCACTTAAAGATGGGCTCATGAAATTCAAAATCATCTTGGGATCTGCACAGCAAGAACTTCTCCTACATGGCATCTGTAAGTCTCAGGACTGAGAAGACAATGACATGGAGAACAGTTGGTTTGGAGAGCAATTGACCTAAAAAGCACACCTAGTCCCCTGTATTAGAGCCACCATGATCTGCCAGGCTGTCTCTGGACATCTTCCATTTACTGTACATTGCTTATACCAGTGTTTCTCAAACTCTGCTCCTCCAGATGACTTGGACTTCAGCCCCCAAAATTCCTAAATGGGATTTCTGGGAGCTAAAGTCCAATACGCCTGGAGGAACAGAGTTTGAGAAACACTGGCTTATACATTAGGAGCTAGGTTTCAGTGCAAAGGGCTTTCTTTAAACGTAATTAATTATTCCCATGAGCAGTCACACACCAAAGCTATTTTGAGACGGCATTCTCTCAGATTGAGAAAGCATTAATGATTAGTGACAAATTGGCATTTGCTATTGCATGCATGTATCAATTGCAGCTGTTCACACTGAAAGGGACCCTGAGTCATGCAAAAGAGATGAATCTCTTGTGCTCCGTAACAATAGCACAGGAGCAAAGCATGTTGAACATGCATCAAAGGAGGATGCAATGCAAGCTTACTGCCCTGATTTCAATTCATCTTGTCAGATTTCAAAAGCTAAACAGTTGGGCCTGATTAATATTTGGATGGAAGGCCACCAGAACAATGAAAAGAAAAATCCAACTTGGAACTCTAGGGCAGTGTTCTCAACCTGTGGTTCTCAACCTGTGGGTCTCCAGGTGTTTTGGCCTACAACTTCCAGAAATCCCAGCTGTTAGAATTTCTGGGAGTTGAAGGTCAAAACATCTGGGGACCCACAAGTTGAGAACCACTGCTTTAGGGAATTGACAACACTATGTTACTTGTACAATGGTATCATAAGGCATGTTTCTCTGACCCATCCTGTTGATGTCACCTCATTTGAGCAATGTAAATATCCACTAGAGAAGGAGCACAACCTACTGAGTCATATGGTTCTGCATAGCTCTTACACACCCACTATGTTTACAAGGAGCATGGGTTGAACAAACAGCAGACAACTTGGCTTGATCTTTCCCACCAAAGGGCAAGATAGTAGCATGCTGGAGAAGCATCTGGACAGTATCTCCATCTCATACGCAGGACAAAGCTCTGAACTGTTGGACAAGGCAGAAGAGAGCTGCACTCAGAGCAGTGTACTGGCACACCAGGAGTCTCCTGCACACATTGGGAGAGTCTCTATCATAGGCTTGCTTAGCTGCCTGGACAAATTGATGATAGCTATATACAACATCCTTAAGATTGATTATCAGGTCTCTGTGCCTCCTACTGCACAGGCCACAGTTTGTAAACTGAAAGCACACTTCTGTGAGTTGGAGAAGGGTCTGGAAGGTCTCCTGAAGAGCACTGTATGTTTCTGAGAAACACCCATGTGTTCTGATAACTTTCTGGCAGCTTGACATCAACCTTTGTGATTCCATGTACAAGATGGTCTTGTGTTCTGAAAAGTGAGAGGAGCACTTATCTCGAGGATGTTTTACTCGGTTTCCCCAAAACTGTCCTAAAATTCCCTGTAGTTCCACCACATTGTCTAGCAAATGCCTAAAATCAAATGGTGTGGCACACATTTTCTCCTTTATGTATCTCAGTGCTTTGATGTGCGAGTCTGCAACCCACGTGTTATTTCTGCATTCTCTGGAGTTACCATTAACATAGTTATGTTTTTGAGTAAGTCTTGTAGAATGAAAGCCTAGAGGAAGTGGGCTTCTTGTCGATGGTGGGGTTGTTAATGGCCGCTCAGACCCACTGCAAGTAGTGGGTTTGGTGCAGTCTAGTTCTGCCTCATTGTCTTGACCGTGGAAACAACTTGTGTAAGTCAACTGGCAACTACACATGTCCCTCTTAGGTTTTGATGAAATTGATTCCTTCTCGTTCATTAGAACTGGAGAACTGAAATTGTTAGATACTGTAGCATTTTTTGTGGCGTTCTCAGAACAAAGAAATGGCTGATCTGAAATACTGCTTTCCTCATTGGTCCCTGCAGACTTACATGGAACATTAAATGAAAAGTAACTGAGTCCATTTGAACTGCCAGCTTTTCTCTGCTCCACAGTATCTTCTTTGGTAACAGTTACCAGACTAGGCAATTTATAATTATAATCCATTTTAAGAGTATCACCTGTGCAATTTTTCTTCTCAAGAGTCTGGTCACCAGTCATTTCTGTACAAAGATATCTGTTCCGAGGAATAGACATGGCTGATAAATGAGGTGGATCCTGATTTGACAATGAGCTACTTTTGTCAGCATTAGCCTGGTATGTTTTATCTGTCTGCTGGCCTATTTCTGCATGATCAACCACTGAACTAAAAGAGGGCCAGGAGAGACATGTTACTGAACCCAAACCACCACCAATGTTAGAAAATGGCTCAGTTGTATTTGAGAAATCGAACTGTTTGTTGCCTTCAGGTGAGGAGTTTTCTCTTGGCATTCTGCTGGTATTGTTACGGAGTACTGAGTTGCCCAGTGGTTGCCTTGGCTCACATACGATGGGCTTCATTTGGTGAGGATCTTGCTCAGGTTCTTCCTGTTTTTCCACTTTCTCAGCAGGAAGAAGATCCTGGTCTGAAGCAGATACATAAGGCAACTGTCTGTCTGGTTGGTTGTTAAGGAACTGGGAAGATTTGGTAGTTGTCTGTATTATTTCCTCAATCAATACATAACTGACTCCTGTTTCAGGCGAGGCTTTTGCTGTTCCTAAGCTTCCATTTAGTACATGATGCTCTGTATCTGCAGAACAATGCTCCTGAAGCCCACCAACTGTGTCTCTAAGATCTGATTTTTCTTCGCATGTGGTATTAAGAACTTCAAAGTGAACAGGGCTTCTGGATACATTCAGACACTGATTCTGGTGGCCAGCAGAATTCGCGGAGGTAAAAGAATTGTCCTCCGTTTCTGTGGAAGCAGAGCTGAAGGAGGCATCTGAACATTCTCTGCTTTTCATGGGATGAATGACATAAAAAGGATACACACTTGAGTCCGTGGATGACTCCCTTTCCAATGAACCTGGCTTCACGTCTACAGAGTCAGATGAAGCTATTGTATCCCCAGCTAGTTGGGTTTCCAAAAGACCAGAATCACTTTTAGGTTCCTTGAAGGAGATTGCAGCAGGGGAAGACAATGTACCTGGAAGCACAGGTTCTCCATCACAGCCAGTATGATCAATGTTCTCCAGGGAGTGAGGTGGAGCAAAAGGGAAAGTAACCTGTGAAGTGAAATTAGTCTGCAGAAAAGACCTCCTCTTCCTCAGATTGTTGACATCCTGGGGCTCCTTTTCAGGTCTATATCTTGCCCTTCTGCTTTGTCTTGGCAGAAAGTTTTCACCTGAACTGTCACAGGACAGGGTCTTTGAGGAGTTCAAATCTTGCACAGTTTTTGGGGATAGAGCGCCAAAAACTACAAATAAAGAAGAGGAAGAATGTGAGAAAATGATGTTTACCTTCTGTGGATAAATGTCTGTTACTTAGAACCACAGCTCAGTTCCTCCCTCCCTCTCGAAAACCTATTATTATTATTATTATTATTATTATTATTATTATTATTTAGGATATTTCTATGCTGCCTTTCTCAGTCTTAAGTCGACTCAAGGCGGCAATTAGATGTCACAACAGTTATAAAACAGAATCAAAACATTTAGTACACATTATAAAAACCATGTAAAAATCACCAGTGACTTTCTGATTAACTCATTTTCCAGGAGCACTGTCTAAGCCTTTCCATGTTCACTCTTTCCTAGTTCTATGTTTATCTAATTGCACTGCATTTCCAAAGGCTTGTTCGAAGAGCCAGGTTTTTACTTTTTTCGGAATGTCAGGAGGGAGGGGGGCAATTAAAATCCCTAGGGAGGGAGTTCCATAGCTGAGGGGCCACCACTGAGAAGGCCCTGTCTCTTGTCCCCACCAGGTGTACCTGCAACAAAGGTGGGATTGAGAGCAGGGCCTCCCCAGAAGATCTTAAGTTCCTAGCTAGTTCATAAGGAGAGATACATTCGGACAGTAGAGCACATCATTATTTCATTTTAGTCTAGCTAGTGAAATGCTATTTTTTGTGTGTGTCAGGAGCTATCTGAAAAACTGCAAGTCGCTTCTGGTGTGAGAGAATTGCCCATCTGCAAGCATGTTGCCCAGGGGACACCCAGATGTTTGATGTTTTACCACTCTTATGGGAGGCTTCTCTCATGTCCCCGCATGGGGAGCTGGAGCTGACAGAGGGAGCTTAATTTGCTCTCCTCAGATTCAAATTGCTGACCTCTTAGTCAGCAGTCCTGCTGCACAAGTGTTTAACCCATTGTGCCACCGGGAGCTCTAGTGAAGGATGATGAATATAGTCATTCCTCTATATCGGAAAGGGCAAGTATCTCCCCCCAGGATTAGGTGCTTGCCTCCTCTCCATGACAAGCTGTGGGAGACATGAGGACTTGTGAAAAGAAGAGCAAATGGTTGAAAAATATGAACAGGCTGGAAGAACTGGATATTATGTGCCAAAGTTGTTGTATTAGCATCTCCAGTTCTTTGCTTAGCTAGAGAATGGGAAAGTAATCAATGTAACAAATAACAAAATATAAATATAATGGGGGAAATGGCTGGGATATTTTTGCTTATGAAAAATATACAGTTAGCCCTGTTACATATTAATTACTATTCACGGAGCAGCAAGGATGGCCTGGGGAGTATGCAGAGTGAAGGACTTCAGGAACAGCCTTAAGGGTTCACTTAATCAAGATCTTATGCTTCTTTGGTGCTTTGATGCCTTTGATATTTATAACCACATCACATGTATGTCACACTATACTGTACATATATAAAAGGGAAATGGGTTAAGCTTGGTTACGCTTAGGAGAAAACAGCTGGCTTGGCTACAGGCTGGTATGGCAAGGCCTCATCTGTTAGCAATGCCTACCTATCTTATACTACGAAACTCTTATGGGAACCTGATGAGCCAAGCCTTTCTTGTGTGAAAGACAGAGGGAGGGCGAGTGGGTGGAGGAACTAAGCATGTTTTAATTAAAAGGAAAAGACAGCAATAGGTATAACATACCTGTGAAAATATGATACTTGTGAAGCTTGCCAGGCCTGACAACAACAATGATATAGAATGCTTCCCATTGTTTTCTTAAATAGCTTTACTACCTCAAAGTGACTTTAGTTTTTGAACTAAAGAAGCCTGTATCTGGAAGGCTGTCAGGATGCCTTTTTAATAACCTTTTGCCACTGTGAGATACAGTTGGAAAGGGAAGGATCTCTTTTCATTTCCAAACTGGATGTGAGGGATCAAGGCCATGCTTTGGAGAAGAGACAGAGAAAGGCACTTTGGGAGGAATGCCCACCTTGCAAGAACCCATTCTGTTTGGGCTCAACTAGTGGTTGCTGGGAGTCTACTCCAGTGGACAGAGGGCAAGCGAGGTCATACGAGAAGTCACGTTTTGATTTTTTTATCATGTCAGAAGCAAATTGAGGATATACTGCAAGTCGCTTCTAGTGTGAAAGAATCAGCTATCTACAGAGACGTTGCCCAGGGTACGCCCAGATGTATTACCACCTTGTGGGAGGCTTCTCTCATGTCCCCACATGGGAAGCTGAGGCTGACACAGAGCTCACCCCATCTCACAGATTTGAATAACTGATCCTCAGGCCTTCAGGTCAGCAGTTCAGCTGGCATATGGGGTTAACTCATTGTGCCACCGCAGGTCCATGCTTTTTGATGTCAAGGGGAGACAAAAAGTGGGGTGCCTGACTGAATAGGATGCCCATCTTGTAGAAACTTTCTTTGGCAGAGAGGCAGAAGGAATGGAGGCAGAACTCCATGTTCCAAGATGTCAGAAACAAACAAACAAATCCTTTGATTGTGACCAGGTGAATCATGGAGCCAGATCTCATTAGGAAGAGCCAGTAGCAGGCAGTACCTCTCCAAATGCAGAGGGACAGGCAGCTAAGGATTACGTGCAATGGGAATCCAGAGAAACTCCCATTTTTTTCTCTCCCACATAGCTGGATGAGTGGGCAGAGATTTTCCCTGATGACACCCTGAAGGTGAGATCTGACTGCATTGAGCTGAATGACTGGGATTTTTATGACCAGTGTTTGTGCTTGTTTTGAGGATCCGTACCACAAAGAAAAAGTATGCACCAGATTAATGACCCTCAGACAGGGTGCTAAATCAGTGATCCAGTATGCAGAGATGTTTAGATAGCAGGCAGTCCAGATCTCCAAGTACACAGAAGCAACAAAGATACTACCGAGATGGGCTGAGATCAGGCAGTTTGGTGTAAACTTATTAAGAAACAACCCAGATACTCAGATGAGGTGGTTCCACTGGCTGGAGAAAGTGAAATTTGCCCAGAGAAGACTACCAAACTTCCAAAGACAAAAGAGTATGCCAAGACAATCAAATGTAGACTGTATTTCCACTGATGGTATTAAAATGAATCCAGCCAAAGTACAAGCCATGATGGGCTGGGGATCTCAATAAACCTAAAAACAACTGTAAAGTTTTTTGGTATTTGTAAATTTTTTACAGGTAATTCATTCAAAATTTTCATAAAGTAGCATTGCCTTGAGTGACTTGCTCAAGATAAAATGATAAATAGGAAAAGCACAGGGCTTTAGAGCATTTAAAGTGCTTTTTAGTTCAAAGCTCATTCTGAAACACCCTGATCCCAATCAGGCCTTTGTGCAATTGGGGCAACATTGCTGCAAAAGATGAAAGGAGGCGATTGCGAGCATGAACTTACCTGTTAAAGCAAATGTACAGCTACTGAGCGTACTTGGCCTATTTGGGAGAAAGAGGCTGCGGCTATAGAATTCACTTCGGAGGCAAGGAGACATTTTCTAAATTCAAAGTTTGTACTAACCATCACAATTTGGAAGTTTGAAAAATTCAGTCCAAAACTGATTTGTTGAACTAAATTATTTTATAAGTTCAATTTTAAACTAAAATACTTTCAAGGGAATTTTTTTTGCTGAGTTTGTCAAGGTTGCCCCAGGATGAGAATCAGACAGAAGAAATAGCAGACACTTTGTTTACCCTTAAACAGCTGGGCTTGAGTCAAGCCAAAGAGGTGAGCCAGGGGGCAAAAGTGCCTGATTCTGTTCATCAAAGATTAGAACAGACTATAGAGCAAGTTGAAAAAGAGCCACAAGAGGGAGCTAATATTGCAGAATGATATTTAGAGTAAAGGAAACTGGATCTACATATCAGAGGAAGATTTTATGCCAGTGTTATCAACCAGGGTCCAATCTTCCATTTCTGAACAAGGTTCTGGAGCGTGTGGTGGCCTCCCAACTCCAGGGATTTCTGGATGAAACGGATTATCTAGATCCATTTTAATCTGGTTTCAGGTCTGGTTACGGAACAGACAGCTTTGGTCACCTTGTTGGATGACTTGTGAAGAGAGCTAAACAGGGGGAGTGCATCCCTGTTACTTCTCCTTGATCTCTCAGCGGCTTTTGATACCATTGACCATGGTATCCTTCTGGGTCATCTCACTGGGATGGAACTGGGAGGCACTGTGTTACCCTTCTTGGAGGTCATTTCCAGAATATGGTGCTGCGGGACTTCTGTTTGAACCCCCAGCCATTGACCTGTGGGGTTTCATTTTGTCCCCCCATGCTGTTTAACATATACATAAAACTTGTAACTTCCCACAAAAGGAATATTCATTTAGAACACTATCTGACTATTCCACTTCCGCTACCCTTAAGAAGAATATATACTAGGGCTAGGTTTGAACAACTCAGTATTATGATGCAAACTGGACATTACTGTAACATCCAAGAAGTGAGAGATTCTGTGTACAGGGAGAACAAACAGTAGAAGATATTAAAGATTTCTTAGTTGGTAGTCCAGCATATACTGAACTTTTTTTTTTTTTGTCATGTCAGGAGCAACTTGAGAAACCAAGTCGCTTCTGGTGTGAGAATTGGCCGTCTGCAAGGACGTTGCCCAGGGGACACCCAGATGATTTGATGTTTTATCATCCTTGTGGGAGGCTTCTCTCATGTCCCTGCATGAGGAGCTGGAGCTGGTAGAGGGAGCTCATCCGCCTCTCCCCGAATTCGAACCTGCGACCTGTCGGTCTTCAGTCCTGCTGGCAAAGGGGTTTAACCCACTGAGCCACCGGGGGCTCCTTATATACTGAACTGAGATACAGATATTTACACCCAATATTATCCAACTGCAGGTCCCTCAACGGAAATGATCTTCTGACATTCTCCTAGCAAGGACAGGAAAGATCCACCATAATCAGAGTAAGCCTTTTTATTCTGAAAGCTATCAAGGAAAGAGAACACTTCCTGAAAGAAGAACCAGGAAAATAAGACTCTGAGTGTAAATAGAAGGTCAGCTGCTGTCCTCTCCTTTTTGTCTTGTCTTTTATTTGTGTTGTATTTTGAAATGGTCATATGACTGGTCAAATAAATAATAATAATAATAATAATCATCATCATCATCATCATCATCATCATATACATAAAACAGCTGGGAGTAGCCATCCGGAGTTTTGGAGTACAGTGTCACCCAGCTCTACTACTCCTTTCCACCTAATGCCAAGGAAGCTGTCCTGACCCTAAACCAGTGCCTGTCATCAGTCATTCATCAAACCTATGAATGGTATTAGTTATGGTTCTACTAACCCTTAACCACAGTGGCACATATGCTCAAAATGCTCCCTTGGCTTTAGACCCTCCTCAGGAGGCATTCTTTCAACCGGACTGCTGAGAACTTGCTTCTGACTCACCTGCTTTTCTCTCTGTTGGCGTCATCCGTTCTGCGGCATCATAAAACTCTTCATCTGAACTGGTGTCTCCAAACCCAGGGGGAGGAGCCAAGAGGAATCTCTGTCTCTCCCCTTCGTGGATGCCTTCATCTTCCTCCTGCTCATTTAAGGAGCTGGCCTCTGAGCTGTTGTTTTGGGGGTTCTTCTCCCCACTGCTGGCTGGAGAGATGTTGGCACAGAGGCTGTAATACTCCATGATGTTGTTCTCTGCTAGCTTCGATGCCAGTGCTGAACCGTTTGTTTCATTTTCTCTTCTGGATTCTGCTTCTGGCTGTACAGGTTCAGAAGTGGGGATGCTGGGTGGCAGGAGGAAGGAAAAGAAAGAATCCTGTGCCTCTTCTGAGTTTGCCCCCAAGAAGGCCTTGCTATTGCTCGTCAGCTCCTGAAGAGTGGGGACGTAAAAGTGGTAAAACTCTGGCCTGCTTGATGAGCATGTTTCAAAATCATCCTCCTCCAAGGCATCCATAGAGTCACTTGAGCAGCTCGTCTTAAGCCCTCGGCTTTCTGAGTTGGCTGAGTCAGAGGCTTCTGACAAGCTGTCATTTGTGTTGTCGTATCCGTTGCAAAAGCCCTCACCTTTACCTCCGAGAGTCATTGTTTCTTGCTCTAAGTCCTCTGGATCTCCATCTTCCTTAGACTGAGGCCCAAGACGCCTGAGTCTGGGGGAGTGTGTGTTTGAAAAATGGTCCAAGGAAGAGTCCGGTTCAGAAGAGTCTTCCGAGTCACTGCCGGTTCTAGATTCATATCCTGTAAGTCAAACAGACACAAAGAGTATGGTCCTCTGATGGCAATCCCCCCACTTAGGGCTACCAAGACTGTAGCAGACATGTCATGCTTCCCAGGGATGTCTACAAGAAAGTGAATGGGCACAACTCAAGATATTTTGCTGCCTAAATTAAAGGGAACTAGGGCATCCCCTCCTCTCCTGTCTTCTCTCTTTCAAGATGACACTCCTGCCTTATATCAGAGAAGAAAAATATCAGGGATATTTTGATTCACTCAGATACAGTCCCTAAGCCAGTGGTCTCTAAACCTATTCTAATAGGAAACTATGATTGTCATCACTGTTCTATATGTTCACAGTTTGTCCAAACTAAGTTCTTTCAGAACCAGCACCCCAAAACTCAGTATAGAATCAATCACTTTGCTACCTGCTCCCCTGAAGGTGTAGTATATGCCATCACCTGTCCCTGATCACTTATTTACATTGGTCGAACAAGCAAAGAAGTCAGGCTCAGGATCATTGAGCACAAAAGTAAAATCAGGAAACATTCTACTGATTCTATTCTGTATAAACATTTTGTGGACCTGAACCACAGCCCTGAATCATTTCAAGTACAGATTTTAGAGGTGGTTACTCCACCCAGAGACACTGACTTCCAAACTAAACTTTTACAACGTGAATCCTTCTGGATCTTTACCCTGCAAACAGAACATCCAAAAGGGTAAACAACACCAATTTATATGACTGTTTTTTATAACAGAGTAGGTTTTGCCCCAATGTATTCTTAACTGTTAACGATGTCACTATCACCTGAGCAAAGGACTTGCTATATCAGTAATAGGTTGAGTTATTTTGATCCTATACTCGCCACAGAATAAAACTTCATGCAGGGTATATTGCCCAACAAAGACTAGCTGTGAGTATTATATTATTTGTGTTTCATAGATATTGTATTTCTCTATAGTTTATAATTTATGCTGCAGTGTAATATTACCTTTAGCCACTATCTATGTCCCCTTAGGATCCACCCCTCCAGAAGACACTTGGTGAATTGCTCACCTCAAAAGTTGAGTTTTTTGTGATAATTTGAGTAAGTAGAGTGTCTGTATATATTATTACAAACTTGAAATAACAAATTGTTCAATTGTATGTGTGTATTCATGATATGCGTTGTTTGTAGACCCAACCACCTGACGAAGGCTCTTGCGAGTCGAAACCAGTCGTAGGTTGGAGTCAATTCATGTGACTACTGGAGTCTACTCATATGGAATAAAGAACAGGACTTTTACTCACACGAAGACTGTGTTTTATATTTCAAGAGAAGACCAGTTGTTTCTACTTAATGTGAATGTGGCAGTCCTGTTTTCTTATGTGTATGTGTAATATGTACATTTAGTTAATTTAGTTATTTTCATATTACCACAATCAGTGGATTTTGGTCTCCACACTCCTGCCTTATATGCCAGGTGCCTTTTGGATGTGCAAATGAACCATATGTGAATGATCGTACCGTATATACTTGCGTATAAGCCAATTTTTCAGCTATTTTTTTAGGCTGAAAAAGCCCCCCTTGGCTTATAAGCCAAGTGAAAGTTATTTATTATTTTACTCTATTATTATTTATTACATTTATTATTTTACTCTATTTATTAGGCCTGTTCAATGCATGGTTCTAAATGGTTCTAAAGTACTTACAAAACTAAAGTTCTGGTGGTGAAAATTTCAGAACTCTTTCAAAATTTAATTATTATTTCATTATTGGTGATTTTTTTTTATGACAGAACCAATTAGGAACTGGCATTTATAATGAAATTTTGAGAGTTTTGTTAGAGTTCTGAAATTTTCACCACCAGAACTTTAGTTTTGGAAGTACTTTAGAACCATTTAGAACCATGCATTGAACAGGCCTACTTATTATTATTATTATTATTTATTGCATTTTTTATTATTGTACTGTTTTATTATTTTATTACATTTATTATTTTACTTTATTTATTATTATTTACTTTATCATTATTATCACATTTATTTTTTTACTCTATTATTATTACATTTATCATTTTACTCTATGATTACTGTTATATTTCCATTATTTTACTCTATTATTATTTTTATTACATTTCTTATTTTATTCTCTTTATTATTATTGGAAGGATACGTAAGCACATTTACACCAAAGGTTAGAATAATGGTTTAGTCAGAGTTGGACCATCTTATCTTAAATTACAGTTTTATGTAAATATTCAAAAACATTTAACCTACCGACGTCTCAATTAATGTAATGTTATTGGTATCTATTTTTATTTTGAAATTTACCAGAAGCTCATAACCTCTGAGGATGCTTGCCACAGATACAGGCGAAACGTCAGGAGAAAATGCTTCTAGAACATGGCCATACATCCCGAAAAACCTACAACAACCCAGTTACCAGAAGTTGCTGCATTTCCCACTCTCGGCTTATACTCGAGTCAATATGTTTTCCCAGTTTTTTGTGGTAAAACTAGATGCCTCAACTTATATTTGGGTCTGCTTATACTCCAGTATGTATGTTATATAGGTAGAGTTCATGTGAATGGCTGCCACTCATGTTTATGATGGGGTTGGGGGGAGAGAAGTGTTACACATGAGGGCTCTATGATGCCATGGAAAGCTTTCCTTTGCAAATATTTTTCATCATTGCCACAGTCACAACTATCCACTTAGCTAGTAAGATTCCTCATGGTGTGATAGTTGCTTAGAGCAGCTTGGTATTCACCTTCCTCAGTGGAGAAGCGGTGTGTTTGGGGCTTTTTCTCCCCCCAGATAAATAGGGAATGGGTTGAATCGACAAACATCCTGTAGTAGCCACTGATGAGACAAGCCAGATCTTTGGCACTGTTGGATTCCAGCATCAGGGTCAGCACCTTTTAAGGAGGGGCAAACAGAGATTCAGATATCAGTGTGAAACATGAGAAAGGCAGGAGCAAGTACTGGAAAGAAAGCTGTCCTCAGTGCCACTCAGGGACTTTCCAATACCAGCAGCTACTTCTCAGGAGAGCTTCTTCTTGAACTAAAGCAGGGCAGAAAAGAGATAAATCATACTCCCCACTGATTGCAATCCCCACTTCTCCATGCACAGCACAGTTAGATCCTGCAAAAAGTGGTGATGGTCAGATAGCCATGCTCTTCTTCACCCCCATTTGCCACGGTTTCCTTCCTCCTGCCACCCAGTGGAGTTCCTGTCTAAAACTCACTGTAGTTTCTGATGTAACCTGCAATCCTAGAGTTCCTTGACTCTTCGTGTCATCTACTTGGCACAAGAAGGGTGAACAGGATGTGGCAGCAAATGAAATTCAGAAGAACCATAACAGTTGGGGGTTAATGCCCCATAAACATACCCTGACCATTTAATAGAGTTTCAAAATGGTATTGAAGAAAGTGGTTTCAGTGTGCAGATTTATTTTTTTTGTTGTGTCAGGAGCACTTGAGAAACTGCAAGTTGCTTCTGGTGTGAGAGAATTGGCCATCTGCAGGGACGTTGCCCAGGGGATGCCCGGATGTATTGATGTTTTATCATCCTGTGGGAGGCTTCTCTCATGTCCCCGCATGAGGAGCTGGAGCTTAGAGGGAGCTCATCCGAGCTCTCTCCGGATTTGAACCTGTGACCTGTCAGTCTTCAGTCCTGCTGGCACAAGGTTTTAACCACATAGGAAATCTGGACTCAGTTTGAGACCCAGATGGTGATTACACAAACCACCATCCCCCCTGTTTTTGGTGGGGAGCTCATTGTCTAGCCACCACAGTTTGAAGCTAGCGTCATTAAATGGTCAGTATGGTGCCAGAAAGATCCCAAAGAAACATGCTGAAAGGCCGCACAGTTCCCATTTTAATATAATGCTAGAAATAATGTTTGGTTTTTAAGGTCTGATATCACCAGTTTCTCTGGAATCCTGGTCTCTCTGAGTGTAAGATGGCAGTGTACACTCTTTTTCTAGTTACAGAACTGTGCATTTTAGAAAACTATATAATATTCTTCTCACACCCAGCTATTGTTGAAAGAGGGAATGAAGTTATAATTACCTTTATATCTTGGAGGTAGATTTTTACCATGCTTACTTTTTCAGACTCTTCAGTAAGTTCCAGTTTGCTAATGTTAGCAAATTCTGCCAGCATGGTAATGATGTTGAGTTTGTTGTTAACAACTTGGCTGATTCCATATTTGGCTCCCACCAAGAGGGTGACACATGACTCTCTGTCCTGTAACTACACGGGAGAAAACAGTCTAAGACTCATTTCCAGGATGCCTTACCAGAGTCTATCACTAAGTAGCCATTATACCACATGGGCACCATGTCTTTTTTGGGGTGCCTTGATTGTAGAGACACCTTCCCAGAGAGGTATGTTTACACTCCTTGGCACTATGCCCTGTTTAGGCCTAGGTGAAAATTTACATGTTTATCCAAATAGTTTAAACGAATGTATTCAACTCACTGATGGAAATAGTTGGCTACTGCATATGATATAAGGATCTTTTATTATATTTTGAACACGAAGTTGTTGTTGTAAAATGAAAAGTAGTATAAAAAGTTTTTAATCAGTCAATAATGAGAAGTATGATATTCAGTACTAACTTTATTTTCAAATACGCCTTCAAGGCTACAATGTTCTGTATTGTCTTAACTCTCCCCTAGTGCTCAGAGCAAGATGGCACTCCTTCTCATTCCATATAGAAAAGAAGACTGTACCATCTTTAAAATTGGCGACCAGTTAGCTTTCTCCCTTGACCAATCTGCTGAACTGTGATTCCCAATATTTGCGTAGATTCTGTTATTAATCATTTATATCCTTAAAGATAATTTCACATGCAACTCCTGGAACGATTCCATCAGCATTGCCTCTGAAAAATTCTCCAAATCTCTTGGGAAGACAAGCAGACAAATGTCAGCGTGCTGGAAGAAGCAAAGACCACCAGCACTGAAGCGATGGTCCTCCGCCATCAACTCCGCTGGACCGGCCAGGTTGTCCGGATGCTCGACCACCATCTCCCAAAGCAGTTGCTCTACTCCGAACTCAAGAACGGAAAGCGGAATATTGGTGGGCAGGAAAAGAGATTTAAAGATGGGCTCAAAGCCAACCTTAAAAACTCTGGCATAGACACCGAGAACTGGGAAGCCCTGGCCCTTGAGCGCTCCAGCTGGAGGTCAGCTATGAGCAGCAGTGCTGTAGAATTTGAAGAGGCACGAATGGAGGGCGAAAGAGAGAAGTGTGCCAAGAGAAAGGCATGTCAAGCCAACCCCGACTGGGAAGGCCTTCCAGCTGGAAACCGATGCCCTCACTGCGGGAGAACATGCAGGTCAAGAATAGGGCTCCACAGTCACCTACGGACCCACCGCCAGGACACCGACCTTGGAGGACAATCTTACTCAGACAATGAGGGATCGTCCTAAGTAAGTAAGTATCCTTAAAGACCTGTTTAACTCTAGCTGCAGTTTGAGTTAGTTCTTCCTTGAATCACAGTAACAATGACAACATTTGATGTTCTGACATCTTCAGTGTTTTTCACAGGCAGTAAAGCAACATGAGAAGGTAGTAGAATTTTAGTTTCCACCAGTAAATGTTGTAAATTATGTTGCAACTGGCTTATCTCTTCTTGTTGTTTTTGTGATTCAGGGAATCAATTTTCTGTCTAGTTATCTCTTCTTGGAACTTTTGATTACAATCTTTATAGTTCAGAGTGTCTTAGCTTTGGGGTTGCCTAGAAGTGTTATCCAATTGCTAACAAAGTGTTTTTCAACTCCTGGCTGGCTCAGTCTTTATCCACCTCCAGCAGCCAAAAATGAGAGTCCCACTTTCAACATTTAAAAAAAGGACAGAGGAGGAAGTGTTAGCTAGCTAGAAAGCTTGTTCTTAAACCTTCTGGTTAAGTTTAGACAGAGATAATTTAGAAGCAAAAAGACCTGCCTTAAACTAGAAGCATTCTCTCCTGATGTTTCGTCTGCATCTGTGGCAGGCATTCTCAGAGGTTGTAAGCTCCTCACAACCTCTGAGGATGCCTGCCACAGATGCAGGCAAAATGTCAGGAGAGAATGTTTCTAGCCAGCTTATCAGCTGTTAGGATTTCTGGGAGTTAAGGCCAAAACATCTAGGCACCCACAGGTTGAGAACCATTGCCTTAAACTGAGGAGGTTCCCAATGTTTACCTTGCTTTTAAGTTGATTTATTATATTAAAGGAAGGGCATGTTTTTCTTGAAGTTCATCCATCCTGAAAGCTGGGGCAGATTTCATAGGGGGTGGGGGGTGGGGGCTAAGATGGTGACCTGAGCTGCTGTCTTATCTGTGACCACTATTCCCTTCTGGGCTCATGGATCACAAAGTCAAATATTGGGTTATGTGGATAATCCTTTGCTCCTTCTACACCTAGAAAGAGTGATGCCAGTTTTGGAGCCTCTGAAACCAGCTTTTCTCTTGGGTTGTTGTAGGTTTTTCAGGCTGTATGGCCATTTTCCAGAAGCATTCTCTCCTGACGTTTTGCCTGCATCTGTGGCAGGCATTCTCAGAGGCTGTGAGGTCTCCACAACCTCTGAGGATGCCTTCCACAGATGCAGGCAAAACGTCAGGAGACTTCCAGAACATGGCCATACAGCCTGAAAAACCTACAAAAACCCAGTGATTCCGGCCATGAAAGCCTTTGACAATACAGCTTTTCTCTTCACTCTCACATTGAACTGAAGTGACAGAGAAATTGTACTCCAATCCATGTCCCAAAGTCATAGCCATTTCTTCCAACACCTTGCTGCCATCTCCTGGTATCTGCCAATGAATAGATATCTAACTTTGCGTAGTGGTATAGAAGGCTCTGGCATGCCCAAATGTAGAATCCAATGTATTTCCACGCATTTTTGATGACTTACAGAAAGACCTCAAGAATCACTGCCAAGTTCTGACTTGTGTCACATTAGGACAAATTTGCAGTGTTAGAAGTTTATGCAGTAAACACAACAGAGAAAATACACTTGAGATAGTTTTAAAAGAGTATTGTTTTATAACATAAGCCAAAGAATAACCTTACCATGAGTGTTGCATTGAAAGTTTTCCCTCCATAAAGTTTGAGGTCTCTGAGAATCTGGAGATAACACAGTCTCACTTGTGCTGCTGAAAGGAGGTGCTGAAATGTTGAACAGAAATTGAAGAAAAACATTAACATAAGCAGATACTGTTTAAGGAAAGGATGTTGGGAGTTGCTGGAGGACTTAGGCCAGTGCTTCTCAACCTGGGGTCCCCAGATGTTTTTGGCCTACAATTCCCAGAAATCCCAGCAAGTTTACCAGATGTTAGGATTTCCGGGAACTGAAGGCCAAAACATCTGGGGACCCACAGGTTGAGAACCACTGACTTAGGCTCTCCTGATGTTTTGACAAAGCAAAGCTTTGGATAGCAATGGTAAATGTCCAATGGAGTGGTTGTTCCATGTCTCTCCCATATTACGAAGGTTGAATAAAAAGTAATGCCTCCACCTTCGTAACTCAAGAGATGGCAGTACTGATATGCAGCAGGTACTCTCTTGTTCAGTAGACTCTCCTCTACAGTTCCATTTTGGAGGGAAGTCTTAGAATTGAATGGCTGTGTTGTTAAAGTGCAAAGTATGGAACCCTGCGCAGTCGGTCAATGCGACTTAAGCAACATGCAGTCATCAAACTGACAGCAGAAGGTGTCACCTCAACATCTTTAAAATTACTCGCCCAACGACACACAGAACTCACATCAACACAATCACCATAAACAGCTTGTTTTCTCTGGTGAATCTCCTGTGGGGTGACACCTTCTGCAGTCAAGAATTCAGTGACTGCATGTTGCTTAAGTAGTATTGACCGACAATCTGAGCAGGGTTCCATACTTCGCACGTTAACAACACAGCCATTCAATGCTAAGGCTTCCTGCCAAAATGGAACTGTAGAGGAGAGTCAACAAGCCAGTGCCTGCTGCATACCAGTACTGCTTACCTGTTGAGGAGTTATGAAGGTGGAGGCATTACTTTTCACTCAACCCTCGTATGTGGAAGCCTTGAATGTGGGAATGTGCTTATAAAATTCCAGTTCCAGAAGGCATCATATACAGGACAACCATATGAAAGAATGTGGCGTACATGGCTAACCCAGCAATGTTACTTCATTAGGTAGCCTTTCACCTTTGTACTAAACCCATATACCTTTTGTCTTGGATCCAGCAAAAGTTGATTCCTCTTCATGTGAAAGCTAATGGCTTTTTTGATGTCCTTGCCTCTCATGTTTCGGAGCAGTGTTGGGGAGATAAAGTTTTCTATGCCCCAGTCTTTCCTGAAGCAAAAAAGAAATAGAAGGGAAAAGGAATCCTAAGGGGATATTTCTGCAGAATTCCTTATATTTAAAGTACAATATCCATGGATTTGATAATTACAATTTCACTTAGTCATGCTAGTGTTTGTGAGCCTCTCTAGGTTCAGCATTATTCTATGGTTTACTTCTAGTCAAAGTATAGTCAAAATAGAGGGTTCACTGTTATCACTGTTATGTTACTCAAATTAACATGTGTAATAAGTTTTGAAAGAGGAAATAGCATGTGTGTCTTAAACAAGAAATATTTATAGAATCATAGAATGGGAAGAGACCACTAAGGCCATCCAGTCTAACCCCCTGTCATGAAGAAGCACACATTTGTTCTTGTTGAAAAAAGAAACGGAAAAGTCTAAAATAGGGTCACCACTTTCACCCCCTATTTTTTGTGTCATAGAATCATAGAATTAGAAGAGACTTCGTAGGCCATCCAGTCCAATCCTCTGCCAAGAAGCAGGACAATTGCATTCAAAACACCCCCGACAGATGGCCATCCAGCCTCTGTTTAAAAGCTTCCAAAGAAGGAGCCTCCACCACACTCCGGGGCAGAGAGTTCCACTGCTGAAAAGCTCTAACAGTCAGGAAGTTCTTCCTAATGTTCATGTAGCCTGGTCATGTAGCCTGGTAAAGAATTCAATAAAACTCTAAAATCTGTAGATCTCATTGATTTTGTTTCTATTCATGGACTAGCTTGGCTATCTTTTTTCCTACCAAACTAGGTCATTTGCCCTATTTGACCTGCTCTACAAATTCATTAAATGAATTAATAGCCTTATTTATTAAGGCTTGTTTGCTTTTTAAAACGGGGTTGTTGTAGGGTTTTTGGGCTGTATGGCCATGTTCTAGAAGCATTCCCTCCTAACATTTCGCCTGCATCTATGGCAGGCATCCCCAGAGGTTGTGAGGTCTGTTGGAAACTATTAAAATCAGGTTTATATATCTGTGGGAAGTCCAGGGTGGGAAAAAGAATTCTTATCTGTTGGAGGCAGGTGTGAATGTTTCAATTGGCCACCTTGATTAGCATTTGATGGCCTGGCAGTTTTTAGGTGTGGCTTGTTCCTGCCTGGTGCTCGTGCACGTTACCAGAAGTCTTACCGTTAAAAAGAAAATTTTACATTTGTCTTTTCAAATAAAAATGACAGAAATTTTTAAAAAATATATAGTAGGACCTCCACTTTAATGACAATGAGAAGGGCAGCAAATGTAGGACAAGCTGCAGCAGACTTGGGGCCCTTTCACACAGCCGTATAACCCAGAATATCAAGGCAGAAAATCCCAAAATATCTGCTTTGAAGTGGGTTATCTGAGTACACACTGCCTTATATTCCAGGTCAAAGCAAATAATGTGGGATTTTATTTAGCTGTGTGGAAGGGGACTTAGAAATTCAGAGATAGAATATATTAATCAAATCTGGAAGTGAATTGTAATCTGCATTTCATCAATGGATTTCAACTTGTACTTCAACTCTGTGTATCTTGTATATGTTTTAATAGTGTTTTATCTCTTTGTTGATACAAAGGTTACACCTGTCCATTGCTAACTGCTGCCACAATAAAAAGTATAATCAAAGATTGGCCTTGCTTCCTTTGACAGGAAGTTCCAGAGTCTGGGAATAGCTGCTAAGAAAGCCTTGCATTCTTCACGATCTAGTGGAATTTACAAAGATACCCTTGTCACTTACTCTATATATTTCAGAGAGACTTTCTGTGGCTGAGCGCAAGTGATGATGCGTTCCTGTATGTGCAGCGCAGCCAACCTCAAAGCGACACTGCACTTCATCTCGACAGCAAATCTTTCCTGAAGCACATCACTGCAGCTCTGAAACAGACAGGACCAAGTTAGCAAGAGCAGAGAAGCAGTTATTTTCCCCAGGGTAAACTCTCCCCACTCCCCACTATATCATGACAGGTCAACAGTTTGACTCTTGACAGCATTGAGTAACTAGGTTGCTTACCTTCCTTGCATTGTGGTGGAATTCGGGGCTGGGTCACACATGCATGTCCTTCACTTATGGATTACAGCACCAAGCGCCAACCTGCCTGTGTGAATGGGCTTCACAGATCAAGCAGATACATAGAGCTTCCACATCACTGCAAGAATAATATTCTTCAGTGGAGTCTTTACATAGCCATTGGTAGATGGTGATGGTGGTGATGGTAATGATAATAAAAAAATGGGAAGGGTTTATGCATGTATGAAACCAGCCCAAAGATTTTATCCAACTTTTTCTCTGATGGATGGATACATGAAAATAATGCTTGGCGACTTCTCACAGGCAACCAGTTGGCAACTGTGTGGACAGAATGATGAACGAGATAGGCTTTGGGTCATATACAGCAGGGTTCCTCTTGTAGTCTTTTTAAGAAATTAATTTTCAATTTATACAACAAAAAAGGCGAAAGGGAAAACAGGAAAGAGGAAAAAATAAAAAAAGGTAGATGGAAATATTGTTAGTAGATTAAACCGTGACAAATATTAACTTTATTTACTCAAATCTAATGCTCACCTTTTTTTGGCTAAATTACCTTGCAAAAACTACAGTGCACATTAGATTTGCATCATTCAGTCATCTTTGTGTATGTGTTTTATATAAGGAGTGATTTGAGAAATTGCAAGTCACTTCTGGTGTGAGAGAATTGGCCGTCTGCAAGGATGTTGCCCAAGGAATGTCTGAGTGATTTATGTTTTACCATCCTTGTGGGAGGCTTCTCTCATGCCCATAGAAAGATGGAGCTGGCAGACAGCTCACCCCGGTCCCCGGATTTGAACCGCTGACCTTTGGGTCAACAGTCCTGTCGGCACAAGGGTTTAACCCATTGTGCCACTGGGGGTCCTATCTTAGTGCTGAGCCAAATCGAAAAGGGAAGTTGTTTCAGGAGCAGCTGGCAATCCTATTTGAAGGACATTATCTTTATTTTGATTGTCATGGCTCAATGGTATGACATCCTGGGATTCGTAGTTTGGTGAAGCACCTGCATTTTCCAGCAGAGAAGGCTCAAGACCTTGTCAAACCACAGCCTCCATGATTCCACAGAACTGAACCAAGGCATCACAGATGCACTCCAAGGTTTTATTTTTCATTGCTGAAACTTTGATGTCCCAACACTTTGGTTTTTAAAGAAGGAATTCCAAGCAGGTGGCAATTGTATTGGCCAAATTACAGAATGCACTTTTTGCTGGTGCGCATTACATTCATCAGCAAATCCTTTTTTTAATTTTGGTTTCAAAGTTTTAAATTTTGAATTGTGCATTAGATTTAATGGTGCATTAGACTCGAGTAAATACGGCAAATATGTCACAAAAGAAAAGCACAAGGGGTATTCTCATATTATCTTTAATTTATCTACCAGGAAGAAATCCTGATTCAGCTTCATGGATCCAGGCTTTAAATATATTTTTAAAGTCTATCAGCCAGTATATTTGAATAAATTTTATAGTCCACATTTAACAATGAAATTGGTCCACAGTGATGATACCTCTATCTTCTTCTGGAATCAGTGTTATCGTAGCTTCTTTCCAAGATTCTCCTTTGTTTGTATAATTGAGTTCATTATTATATGTAGATAAAGGGCTAGTTCATCCCCAAATGTTTTATAAAATAGTGCTGTATATCTGTCTGGTCCTGGGCATTATTATCCTTTAAATTTCTTATTGCTGTAGTGACTTCCCGTATCATGATAGGATTATTCAGGATATCTCATTTTTCCTTTGCTAACCTTGGTAATCTTTCTCTCTGTAAGTAGTCTATAATTTCTTATAGAAGTATTCTTCTCTTAGTGTATAAATCTTGGGGAAAAACCATATAAAACTTCTGTATAATTTTGATTTCTTGACCTTCTCTCTTCACCACATTTCCTTTGTCTTGTCTTTTTTTAATGTAGCTGCTAACCACTTCTCTGGTTTGTTGGCAAATTCAAAGTGCTTTTGTTTAGCAAATTTCAGTTTTATTTTCATTTGATGTGTTAATATCATTGATACTTGAAGTCCCAATTGTTTCAAGTATTGAATTATTTTAACATTCGTTGATTGAGTTTTACTTTCCATCCCTTTTTCTTTAATTCCTTCTTGGATTTGATCAATCTTTTCTTGATTTTTGTTTATTTTCTTGAGTAATGAATTGTATTAATCTTCCTCTTATATAAGCTTTTAATGTATCCATTTTATATTAGTAGACATTCCTTCCATTTTGTTAGTCTTAAATCATTCTTTCATTTCTGGTTTTATTTTTTTTTTACACATTTTCTATTTTTTAAAAATAGATATTAATTTAATTTCCAAACATTTTTTGGTACTTTAATCTCATTTGAGATTGGAGCATGGTCTGAAATTATTTTCAGATGTATTTTTCACTAGTCCCATTTGAAATCCATATTCTATCAATCCTTGAATATGCCTTGTATCTATCTGAGTAGAAGGTGTAGTCCTTTTCGTTTCTCTTCCTTTCTCGCCACGGGTATTTTATTCCATATTTTTTTCTGCAAGCTCCAAAAGGTTTTTGGGAATTCTTCTTCCAATTTTTGCAGGATCTTCCCTGATCTTCTATCCAAGAATGGATCGACAACTGCATTGAAGTCACCTAGGATTAGTAAGTATGAGTATTCTACTTCTTTTAACTCATGATTTATTTTCTCAACATTTTTTGATTTATCTGCATTGGTCATATACATTGACTATCAAAACCTTTTTTGTCTACTACTTGCATCATCAGCATTCCTTCTTTGTCTTCTTTGATTAGTTGGGGTGGTCAAGTTTCTTTAATGTGTAATACTAAACCATTTTTCTTGATTCTGTTTGACGTTATAAATTTTTTTCTCAGTCTTTTTATATCAATTATTTTCTGTTTGAAAGCTGTGTGACTTCCATCAACAATGGATATGACCCAAACTTTGCTCACATGACCATCAGATGGGGTTTGGAGGGCAATGACAGAGGATGATGGGAGTTATAGTTCACCCACTTGTGAACTGCACTGTGAACATCACAGTTGATATATCTGGACCAAACTTTGTACACATATCCATCATGACTAACTTTAATTACTGACAGGCTTGGAGGGAGGGGGGTTGAACTGTGATGATGGGAGTTATAGTTAAACTACATCCAGATAACACTGCAATATCCATTGATGATAGACCTGGACCAAACTTGGCATACATACCCATTATGAGCAAATGCTAGCACTGTTTGGGGGCAATGATATTGGATTGTGGGATTTGGGGTTTACCCATATTCTTATGCCTTTTCATAAAACCGAAAACCAAACAATGGCTGCTTCTAATGTTAATTCTTACAAAATCTCTAACCCGGGCCATCACTGTCACGTAAATAAAATGTAAGTTATATTTTCTGAATTTGATTAGAATGTGAACTGATTTCATAGGTGTTCCCAAAACTCTACATTTGTATCATTACAAAAATTAAACAATTTAAAAATAATTAATTATTTTCATTGGCTCTGCGAACTATACATAAAAAATCTCTGAAGATTTTTTTTTTGTCACACATGCTAAAATCCTGGCCAAGGCAAAGAGGACTGTTGTGTGATATATAATGTGTTACCACATCACCTGCAAAAAGAGATACTCAAAGGCAACTGGATCTTGTTGAAAAAGATGCAAGGGATCCTTTGGCATAAAGCAGATTCTGAAGAGGCATCGATAATCATGAGACTCTTTTCTTTGAACTACCTGAAAAAGAAAGAGAATGATGACTATGATGTGGCCATTTGGTCCAGAATTTGGATTAAGATTTTTTTTTTTAAAAAAAACGATTTTCTGTATGGTTGCATAAGATAGTTGTTTGGAAAAAGCATGGCTAGTTCCCAGAAGATAGAGAAATTGTATAATAAGATGTCAACAAGTTAATCAAGTGGCACATCCTTCCTTCTGTGTAGGTGGTAAAAATTGAATGATGTACTGAATGATTAGGTATTTCAGAATGAAAATGTAAATACTGAGCAGTTCCATGTGATCTCTCTGTATTTTTAAAAGTAGCTGTGCTGTCACATGCTGGGCCTGTGAAAGAGTCTGTAGACAGGACGTGTTTCTGTTTGCCTAACGGGACGCTGGGGGTGCCTCGGCTGAGAGGCCTTTCGGATTTCCCCACACAAAATTCTTTTAAAAACTTAGAAAGTTCAACAAAGTTTTTATTGTTGCTTAAATCTTCAATAAATCAAACAAATACTTCAAGGAATCAACTGGTGGCTTGCTTAAATCTTGTCCACAAGGGACAGGCAACTTTCTTCATAAACTGTTTCTTCCTTCTACAAGGGAAATCCTTGACCCCTCCTTGGGCAATCTGACTTAAGCTCTGCTGGAATGAGCCCCTACACCTGGTCCAAGTTGCGTTATGGCTGCTGCGAGTGGTCCTTACCAAACAGAGTCTTTTAGTAGATTTCCAAGAGGAAAGAAGGCTTTCAATTCCCAGCAAAGGCTGGCTGCAGAGTTGTGGAACTAAATTCCCCAACAAAGGCTGAGCTTAAGTCTGTAGTTGTCTGTAGAGCTGTGGGACTGGATCCCCCCAGCAAAGCTGTAAAAGACGAAGCTTTCTACAGGTGGAACTGATTCACGTTCTGTACGAAAGGCTTCTCTGTGTGAACTGAACTAGAGGTCCCCTTTTTCCCTCCTTAACCCAGAAAAAGGGGCGGAACTAAAGAACATAATGATAATTGATGGGTCATTGGCCCTATTATTGCAAACCAAGGGAAGCCACCTTATTGCAAAATGCATGGAACTTTGGAATACATGCAAACACTCAATAGAAAGGAAAAGAAGTTGGAGCTCCTGGTATATTGTTTTTAGTATGTTGAGATGATAAAAACAATATGGCCACAATAACAGGTGATGTGGGAGCCTCTGGGGTTGAAGACAGGTTGCAAATGTTTGAAGCAAACAAACACAAACACACTGCATGTCAGGATATTCCGTGCTGTTGTAAGCTTCAGTTGGGAAATGCTAAGAAGAAAACGGAACAGGAATGCATTTTGTATCACAGAAAAACCTAGCAATATTGCTGTGCCAAACATCACCTCCAGTTACTTATTGATCTGTCCATATATATAATATATATTCCTAATTTTGAGAGCCAAAAGCATGGGAAATAGGTTGTTGAGTCCTCCTTAAAAACTGTCAATGTTTCCCTACGTCTAGTGGAACTTTAGGCCATCGTGATAATAAAAGCCTAAGCTATAGACTACCCACAGAAGCAAAGCTATGTAATTATCTATTCTAGGAGATGGATCTAGCAGTTTCCCCAAAACTAGGAGCTGTATACAATAATACACTGGCATGGAACAGCTGCACATTCCCTTAAACTTCTCTATTATTTTAAATAAAATACTAAAAAAGGTTTCTAGTATTTCTAGCCGCTTTGAGTCCCCCTAGGAGTGAGAAAAGCAGTATAGAAATACTGGAAATAAATAGACCGTTTATTATTTACTAGCTGTCCCCTGCCAAGCGTTGCTGTGGCCCAGTCTGTGTATATGTGTTTTGTGTATGTATATATGTGTGTATGTGTGTGTATATATTTGTGTATATATGTGGTTTTGCACATGCGTTGTAATGAATTTTTAATTTTCTGGCTTTTAAAGTCTCTTTTGCTGTGTTTTCCTGTGCTTTTATGAGTGATGGTCACTTGTTGGCCTGATAGGTGTTTTGTGTCCAAATTTGGTGTCAATCTGTCCAGTGGTTTTTGAGTTATGTTAATCCCGCAAACAAACATTTCATTTTTTATTTATATAGATTCATTTATTTACTACATCTATATCCCACCCTTCTCAACCCCGAAGGGAACTAAAGGTGGCTTACAGCAGAGGCAAATTCAATGCCTTAAACAATTCAACAATTAAATAACACTTAGTTTAAAATCTAAATGAGGTTAAAAGCAATTGAAACATAAACAATACTACTTACAGCTATAAAATCACATTATTCACAATCAAGCTCGGGCCATTCCAATGATTGTTTCACATAAATCCAAGTCATCTATTGCACTGTATTAGTTGCCGAAGGCTTGGTCACAAAGCCATGTTTTCACTTTTTTTCTGAAAGTCACGAGGGAAGGGGCTGATCAAATATCATTGGGGAGGGAGTTCCATAGCCGAGGAGCCACCACTGAAAAGGCCCTGTCAGTTTCACAAGGGCCCTATTCACACCTCAGAATTATAGCAATATCCCATGAGACCGTTTAGGGAGGGGAACTGATAATTCTCAGCCACAGAACTCTAGTGCCTCGCTAGTCTATAAACCCCAGGCTGAGATGCTGTGAGTTGTCCCAAGTCAGCCAATGGGTTTTCAATGTCGGGTGGGGATTTGTGTGGGGATTTGTAAAAAGTCACCATGATGTAATGGGTTGACTGGAAAGGTATGTGACGGCAGCTGATTGGCTGAAAATGCCAGGAGCCAGAATTCAGATTGGCTACTATCTTTAGCTTGATGCTGAGAGAAATGGTTTTAACTGCCATTTTCACCTCAGAGAGTGAAGAGAGTGCTGACTGGAAACAGTCAAGAAGGAAATGGCTACCAACTCTCTGAACCCTGATCATTTCTGAGGCATGAAGCATATTGTAAAGACTGTTTAAAAGGGCTGTTTATTCCCTATGTTTTCTGTAAGAAATCAGAGACTGCTATATATATTGTTGCTCCATTTGACCTTTTGAAATGCAGTAAAGATACTTACTCATTACACAAATCTGAGTGACACATTATTATACTGCAGGGTATATTTTGGTTCAGAAACTGTGGTAAAGCTTCTGTTTATTTACATTTACAACCTCCAATAATTTGAACCTTGGTCTTCTAGAGTCCCAGTCACACTGCTATACTACCAGGGCTGGCAGAGGACTCCTTTACATTTAGTGGTTGTGTAGAATAAAATTTTAGCAGGTATTGATTGATACCTCATTTTGTGACATGCTGAAATTCTCTCTTCTAAATACACATAGCAGGTACAGGAATTTTCTTGAGTGTCTTAAAAATCTATATATCAGGCTTTGCAGATGGGGAGTGCCTCAAATGAAAAGGTCAATCAACCAGACACTCATTTTCCCAAACAATGTCCACATCAAAGTGGCTTTTATTCCTCAGGGAATCTACTATCCTTCTACACAGGTGGAAAACTTGAAGTCCTCCAGATGTTGGATCATCATCTTGTACCAAGAGGTCATCTGGACAGGACCTAAAAGGATCTGAAATCTAATGACATCTGAATAGCCAGATATTCAAACCCCTAAACTAGCAAAACTGCTAAAGAAGACATTGATAGATGCCTTCAGAGCATTGAGACTGACCTGTTCAATGAGTTCATCCTCATGGAGAAGAAACATCTTTAAAATATTATACTGCTCTTCCAGCACCAAGGCAAAATGGTCAATGCTCCGAATGGAAAGCTTTTCTTTCAAGGTAAGAATTATGTCCTGCAAATCATTGATGGAAAAAATAACAAATTAAATAATGTAAATACACTGAGGGAGTTGTCTAAGTGCCTGTACAATATAATTGAAATTCTCAGTTTTTCACAGAGGTGACCCTACATATCACATAAGATGAAACAGACAGTCCTTTTGGCGAGGCATCAGGTGCAGCCTCGCCAAAAGGACTGTCTGTTTCATCTTATGTGATATGTGGGGTCACATAAGTAGAGAGTAGAGAAGTCGATCTCACCCGTATTGTAGAATCCACTGGAGAGCTATTCCAAGCATGCAATATTTATTCCAGTTTCCACAAGCTGAGTGAGAGCGTAAAGTTTGTCTGTTTCAGCTACTCTGACTACTAATTCCAGGAGCTGCTCAACGATTCCAGTCCAAAAATTTCAAGGACAACTGATGATGACAGCAAAATGCAGGTGCAGGGAGATTTGAACTAAAATAAACTTGGGAGTACAATTTGAGGGAGAAAGTTGTATGTTTAAGAATAATCTCAGGCCCCATCCCTAATGCCATTCAATGCGGGGGGGGGGGGGGGGGGGGAGTGTTCATGTCAGGAGCGACTTGAGAATCTGCAAGTCGCTTCTGGTGTGAGAGAATTGGCCGTCTGCAAAGACGTTGCCCAGGGGACGCCCTGATGTTTTATCATCCTTGTGGGAGGCTTCTCTTATGTCCCCACATGGGGAACCGGAGCTGACAGAGGGAGCTCATCCATGCTCTCCCTGGATTTGAACCTGTGACCTGTTGGTCTTCAGTCCTGCCGGCACAGGGGTTTAACCCATGTGTCACCGGGGGCTCCATTCAATGCAGTGTAGGAAACAGATTAACCTGGAGTGTCCAAATAACACACCAAGCCAATCTGATTCAACCTGTAAGAAACCTGATTATCCTGGGTTGTTCTAGTTTTTTAAAAAAACACCTTACTGGAAGATCGAAGCCTTTGTTGGTATGAAGGCAACAAAGACTGTTGCCTGGGATCACCATTTGTGATCCCAAGAGACAGTTCTCACAGGCATCCCTCCTCAGTCTCAGGCAAATTGGGAAGGAGGGATGGCAGTGCTAGTCTTCCTTACCTGTCTCCCATTTTAAAATAGAGACAAACCCTCCATATGGCGGCATGACACTTGGCTTTATCTTCCTGGGGGTTCAAACTGAAATTACAGAGTTTTGGACAGGGTAAGGGGGATTTCCCCCTCCAAAGCTTATGTGGGTATCTGGCCACCCACCAGCCAAAATGGTGCACTTTTATCCCCCTGTGTGGCTAAGAAATACAGAGTATACAGTGGCAGATAGGAAGGTGCTCCAAAGGGTCACCACTTCTGCACAGAGAATAATTGGTTGCCCTCTCCCCTCTTTGGAAGAACTTTATGGGCCCTGCAGCCTTAAAAAAGCTCAGAGCATTCTTGGGGATCCATCTCACACAGTATATTCTTTTTTTTTTAATTGCCATCTGGCAGACGATACAGGGAGACAAAGACAAGGACAGACTGAGAGATAGTTTTTATCTTAGAGTTATAACTATATTGAACTCTGTGGTTTCACACTGATGTGACATTGGGGGCGGTGCGGTGGTGGTTGAGGTGCGGAGGGATGGGAAAGCATTTAATTTTGTCATGCAATAGCACAATGACAATAAAGCTATTCAATAAATGTCAGTGTATTGTTGAAGGCTTTCATGGCTGGAATCACTGGGTTGTTGTACGTTTTTTGGGCTATATGGCCATGTTCTAGAAGCATTCTCTCCTGATGTTTTGCCTGCATCTATGGCAAGCATCCTCGGAGCTTGTGAAGTCACAACCTCTGAGGATGCTTGCCATAGATGCAGGTGAAACATCAGGAGAGAATGCTTCTAGAACATGGCCATATAGCCTGAAAAACCTACAACCCATTTTAAATGTCATTTTCTCTGCATTTTCAGCGGCATAGAGGGATCCTTAATAAAACATAATTGTGTGCATATTTGTATACTGCAATGCAGTCATGAGATAAATATTAAAATGCACTGTCTATTTGCTATAGGAAAATCTCACCTGTCATAAAGCCAAAAAGTCCCTGCCAAAAAGACTGTCATTCATTCCCTCTTTTTTCCCCTTCTCAGCCAAGCACTAACTTGTGCAGCAGGTTTTCAGTAAAGCTCTCTCTTCATCCCCTCCACCCCATAACACACCTCATGTAGGGGCCTTTGATATACAAACATACATATATACAGAAAGAGGGAGTAGATACAATTGTAGATTCAAACTCAACATACTTTGACAGTTGTGCTGGTTTCAAATTTGAAAGCTTTAGTCTGCCCGTTTTCCAAGTACACCTTGAGAACGTTAGGCATGCACAGGAGAGAACTGCCCTGGAAAACAAAACAAAACAAACAAACAAAAACCCATCTAGTTAGTATGCAGGATATCTGGCTCTCGCATTCTGTTCAACTTCTAGATGTCATTCCTTCTAGAAATGTAATTTCAGAAGACCAATAAAGATCTCCATACCCCCTGGATAAAGTTATAATGTCATAATCTATGCTGATTAAGAGACAGTAATCTGTCATAATCTGTGGCTCTAAGACATACTTTGCTCATGCTGGGCATAAATCTGGGAATTTGTGTCACAATTATTTTATTTATTTATTTACAGTATTTATATTCCTCCCTTCTCACTCCACAGGGGACTCAAGAGAAGATTACAATGTGCATATACATGGCAAACATTCAATGCCACAGACACACAACATATATAGACAGACATACAGAGGCTATTTAACATTCCATCTTTCATGTGGGTATTCTGGCCACCAGGGGAGCTGTTGCTTCACTGTCCATTTGTGACACTGATGAAGTACTTCCTTATTAGGTTCTTGTGGGGTTTTGGGCTATAGGGCCATGTTCTAGAGGCATTTCTCCTGACGTTTCGCCTGCATCTATGGCAAGCATCCTCAGAGGTAGTGAGGTCTGTTGGAAATAGGACAATGGGTTTATATATCTGTGGAATGGCTGGGGTGGGGCAAAGAGCTCTTCTCTGCTAGAGCTAGGTGTGAATGTTTCAACTGACCACCTTCATTAGCATTTGAAGCCCTGCCTGAGCCTGGGAAAATCTTTTGTTGAGAGGTGTTAAGATGTGCCTGGTTGTTTCCTCTCTGCTGTTTTGCTGTTGCAATGCGAAACGTCAGGAGAAATGCCTCTAGAACATGGCCCTAAGCCCGAAAAAACCCACAAGAACCTAGTGATTCCAGCCATGAAAGCCTTCGACAATACTTCCTTATTCTTTGCAGGCTTGGTGGAGATTTTTATGGCATCGTAAATTAATTAAATTAGCCTCTCTGCGTAGGTACCTAAATTTCCTACTTGACAGATGCAACTGTCTTTCGGGCTGCAAAGGTCGACAGCAAGCTACACAAATTGGTCGGAAGCTCACTCCAACCCAGGCTGGCTTTGAACTCATGATCTTTTGGTCAGTAGTGATCTTAATGCAGCTGACTCCCAGCCAGCTGCACAGCAGATAATAAGTTTTCCAACAGTAGTTGTAAAGTCTGAAGAAGTAACTTTTTGGTGCTACTACTCCCACAAATCTCCAGTCAGGGTGGCTATGGGGCTGTTGCAAATTCTGTTCTGTTGTGTTTTAGATTAAGCTGTCAAATCACATTTAGATAAAATCTGGTTTTATTGTTTTTTGATGGTGTCTCTTGGAATCTGGTAGAAAGGGAAGCAACTGTCAAATCCATAGCTGAATGGCAAACACAACATCCCCAGCTAAATAGAGATCCAGGAGATGCACTGCAGTCTCATGGGCGTGACACTGTACACCCATCTAGAGCTTATTGTTTATCCTGCAAACAACCTTAGATGACCCAACCCTCACGTATAATTTTGCCACAAGACAATGAACAAGAATTACCCTGGAAAATTAAGGCTGAAAAGCATTTGGCCTCATCAACAATTTATGCCTTCAGTTCAAGAGTTGATATTTCTGCTCTGTGAAAGCACTCCTGGGCCTTTTCCAAATAAAACTCTCTTTCCAAGCAATGCTCCATTTGAAATGGCCATAGTGATGGGTTCTTTCAAGCAGATTATTACGCAGTTTCTGGAAAGCACTAAAAATTCCCAGGAATGCTCCTTTGCAGTACTGGCACAGTAGCTGTGTTTGGAGCAGTGGTTCCCATCCTTTTTTTGACCAGGGACCACTTAACCAGGGACCACTCTCCAACATTAGTACCGAAAGGGTTACGAATCAGTTTTTGGTCAACTTTAGATTCAGTTTGGTTATTTGGGGTACTGATTCAGAAAACTGTATTGGATGGACCACATTAGCTCTAGGTTCTGATACAGGACATATGCCATCCAGTAGTCGCCATCTGCTCACCCACAGAAAACCATATCTAATAATCTAGAGCCACAGATCTTATTTTATGTCTCGCAGCCCACCAGTGGGCCATGGGCCACAAATTGGGAACCACTGGTTTAGCGGGATACTCACAAGTGAAAATTATCTTCCATTTCTAATCTTTGCGTATCCATATGTGCTTATAATTTTGGACAGAGAAGAAAAGACAAGGTTGGTGAAGGCATGGGTGGTATATATAAGCTTCCCACATGTTTGCAGCTCCTATATGTGTGTTTTGGATCATGCGATAATGGGGGGGGGGGGAGGGAGAGAAAACAATTTCTGTCTTTGCTCGTTATCACCTTTCCTCATTTCACAATAGTGTAGAAAAGTTTAACTTCAATTTCTAGCATATCCAGACATAAGAAGCAATGTGCATTTGAAAAGGAATCTATGGAGATACTTCCCATGATATAACATTTAATGGTTTTTGGAGAAAGGTTTGTGACACCTCTGTTCCTTCCAGGAGATGTGAATTTTTGAACTACAGCATGTGGAGTCCTCCAGAAACTAGAGCTGTAGTCCAAAAAGTTAGTTATTTAAGTTCTGGAAGAACCATAGAGCCTCAAACCTCTCACCATGTATCATTTAAACTTTTATACTTCATATTGTTTTACATGTTATCTTTTACTTTATAATGTAAGCTGCTTTGACTCCCGTTCAGGAGAAAGGGAAGATATAAATTAAAATAATTGAATAAATAAACTTTTTAAAAAGAATGCTAAGGTGATTGATTTCTTGACTCAACCATTATTTTCTGCACAAGGAATGGAAGCAAACCCGTGGCATTCTAGTATGAATATTGAAGAGGCCCTGATCAATTCAAATTCAGCACCATAGCTACCTCTTTTAAAGTTCGGACAAAACCCATGGCAGATTCAGCACCCCACTGACATGGAAGACCCTAGCTGTCATTGGCATACACAGTTTTGGGCGATAGTCATACATGTTGGTCATCTCTTAGTGTGGAGAAGAGCAAACTACAGACCACCTGCTGTAATGCAACCTGAGCCCCGCCACATGCACAATGGAGGACCTCCTTGCGGCGACACCAGAGGCACTCCAAGTGGCCAGATACTGGTCAAAGGACAATTAATCAACTACCAAGCTTGCAAATTTTGTGTTCTGTTTATTTGTTTGTTAAAAAATGCAATGCAACTGTTTGGTCTGGTCCTGACACGATAAATAAATATCTCTTATCCAAAATGCTTAGGACCAGAAGTGCTTTGGATTGTTTTGATTTTGATATTATTATTATTATTATTATTATTATTATTATTATTATTATTATGGAATACCTGTATTTGCATATATGGACTTAATGAAATATCTTGGAGATGGGACCCAAGTCAAAACACCAAATTCATAGATGTTTCATAGACACCTTATACACATAACCTGAGGGTCATTTTATAAACAATATTTCAAATACTTTTGTGCAGAAAACAAAGCTTGTGTACACTGAACCATTGGAAAAGCAGTGATCACAATGTGAGTCACACATAGATGATTTTGGAATATTTCAGATTTTGTAATTCTGGACAAGGGATCCTCAACCTGGATATCCAATAAATGAAGGTTTAAAGACCGGATGGCAAGCCAACTAAGCTCAATAGCTGCCAGTCCTTGTCATAACATCAGATTCAATCAGGATGGAAATTTGTTTTTGTTGAACTCTAAGTGTACTTGTGCAGCATATTATTTTGGTAAATTTGAAAGAAAATCTAAAATGTTATCATCGGCACCCCTCTCTCGGCTTCATGTGACTGCATTTGCACTGACCTGAGCATGGCCGTTCACTACTACTTCTTCTGCAAAGCGAACCTTAACAGGATTTGTCTTTAACCTGGCTCTCTTCTCCGCTGTAAGAAAGGATGATTTAGGGCCACCCTGGAAAACAATGGTATTTAAGTTTGCAAATTATCACATAACATGAAAAGACTTACCAATAACTCAATCTCACAATGTTATATGTTAGGAATGGCAAACCTGGGTCCTCCAGATGTCCTAGATTACAGTTCCCAAAACCCTTCACCAAGGTGGTCTATGATGAGGGATGGTGGGAACAGTATTCCAAAACATCTGGAGTGTAAAAGGTTTTCCACTTTTGATTTATGCAAACTCTGCTGCAGAATGGGGATTGATCCAGAATCTGAGAAAACTAAGGGCATCAGATGCAAAGAAGCCTCTTCTTGGATCGCACCTAAGGTCCATCAAGCTCAGTATTTTTTCCTACAGCAGCCAGCCTGATTCCTCTGAAAGCATGTAGAAGAAATCACAAAGATGATGTTGTGCACAACCATCTTCAACAGTGTGCTTTGCAAATGTATTGGACAACAGCAGTGGAGGGTATCATGTTGTCCTGCAAGTGTTATTGGACAGCAACTTCCAGCATATATTTCTATTGCCTGTCTTGGCTAGTACCAAGTAACATCTTAATGTATATCTTATTATTTGGAATTTTGTCTTAAGTGTAGAACCGTATGCTATTATTTTTCATTCAAACTTACATCAATTAGCTCCATTATATGAGCCTCAAGTTGCACTATATTTGATCAGCACTCTGAGTTACCTTTCTATCTAAAATGAAGTTCTTATAATAAAGTGTAGTTTGTTTCTCTAAATCATCAGCATGTTTGTTCCTTAATCTCTAACTGTTGAATGCCCTCTAACGGGTTATGGGCCCAGATTGTTTTAAGAGGTTTCATAAAGGATTAAGTTAGATCAAAGGGTCAAGTCATGTGTGGTGAATAAAGTCATATGCACACTAAACAAAAATAACTCCATATTTTCAAAGCTTTCTTTTTCTCATGAGAGACATACCTACTCTATTGGCACAGCCAATGGTCACAGATAAACAGCAGTAGTGTGCAACGGAAGCATTTAAAAGCAGGGTGATGGTTCAAATGCATTCTAACCAAGCAATCTTTTAAAATTAACAGCGTGTGAGGCAAAACCTTGGAGTAATGAGAAATGTCTGTGCTTTAACCCCCAGAAATCCTAACAAGTTCAACCAATAGTCAAAGTTTATGGGAGTGAAATTCCAGAATATCTCAGACATCACGATACAGTAATGCCTTTCCATAAGATGATCCAGACTCTGCTTGATAAAAGTTAGGGTTGTACATTAAAATGACCAACGTAAGGTGATAAGTAATCTTTATAATTAAATCTACTCTAGGTCTATTTAGCCCAGAGCCTACATTTTCACAGTATTTTAGTGTAAATGGCCTATTCAGATTAATATTTGGGAGTGGAGAGTGGTGGGAACTGGGAAACTGAAATAAATAAATTCAGTGTCCCTTGCTCACTACAAGCTTCAAATCTACCTCTCTTCTCTTGATTACAATGTTTGGCCTCACTATATCATTTTGAATACAGAAAAACCATGTTTGGAAGATAGCCGTGGAAGAAGAAAACAACAGATGGGCAAGGGTGAAGAAGCCCCTTCGGCTTTAGCTTCCATTCCAAACTGGTCCAGAACCAGCTTTTCCGGCTCTAAATAGGCTGAATGTGTTGCTCTGACCTGAGTCCAGTCCTTTCTGTCTGATACCCCACAAAGACACCATATTATTCTTAGCAACAACATTATGAGGACAAAATATTCATCCTTATGGCAATGAATGGCCTCATTCTTACTAGCAAAGATCTAACACAAGGACTCCCTTCACGGTTTACAGTGGATCTTTGGTATCCACTGGGGTTTGGTTCCAGTCCCCAACTCCCAATATGTGGGTACTCAAGTCCCATTATATACAATAGAATAGTAAAATGGTGTCCTTTATATATAATTAAAACTTGTTTTTAAGATTGATTTTAGTATTTTCAAGCCAAATATGGTTGAATCTATGGATACAAAATCCATGGATATGAAAGCTTGACAGTACAGTTTCTCTAGCTGGTACACATCTTGCCAACCCTACCATTATGGTTACCTCCTGGAATGGTTCATTTGTGATCTCATGTGCATACCAAACCCTTACCCTCCAAGGAACAATTCAAACACCAGTGGCATATGAGGGTAATTTACCGAGATACATCGGAGAACTGTAAGCTGGAGGATGTCTTGTGATTCCCTGTAAAATCAAAATGAAAAAAATGAATCATACCTGTTTTCACCATGGGAGAACATTTTATTTAATATCTGTAGCAAAATATATTTCATCTGCATACATGAAATAAGCAAAGGCATGCATTAAATCACATGATGAGCAACACATAGTACAAGCTTATTTTTGCAGCATTACCAGCATCACCATAACAAAATTTAACTTCAGTGGCCTTCTAATAATTTCTGGCATTGAATTTAGGCACTGCACAGTGGTAGGATGGGGAACATGGGTTGTGAATGGCATCCCATCCCTCCCTAATATCTCTGTACGGATGATATCTAGTTCTATCGTTCTGTATCTGTACTATTTCCCTCACTTCAGTTCTCCTTCTCCAACTGATTCTCAAATACTTAAGTATGGATGCTTCATTCCCTGGGAAGGAATCCCACTGGAGTATTTCAGCACATCCAACTACCTGGGAGTCACTCTGAACCATGCTTGACTTATAAGAAACACTGCCTGAATATCAAGCAAAAAGTGGGTGCTAGAAATAATATCAAACAAAAGAAGACTGGCACAACCTGGGGATCACAACCAGACACAGAGAAGACATCTTCCCTTGTGCTTTGCTACTCTGCTGCTAAATATGCAAGCCCAGTGTGGAATACATCTCATCATGTTAAAACAGTGGATGTGGCTCTTAATGAGACATGCCGCATTATCACAGGATGTCTACGCCCTACACCACTGGAGAAATTATACTGTCTAGCCGGTATTGCACCACCTGATATCCATCGGGAAGTTGCAGCCAGTAATAAAAGCACCAAGGTATTGACATCCTTGGCCCATCCTCTGTTCGGATATCAGCCAGAAAGCTAATGCCTTCAATCAATCAGCTTTCTAAGATCTTCAGAGATATTTGCAGGAACACCTCAGCAAGCGAGAGTCTAAAAGTGGCAGGTGAAAACCCGGAAGCTCAATCAGTAGCTGAGATCAGATGAGAAACTCCCTCTTGGGCATACAGAAGGCTGGGCAAAAAGGTAAAGAACAGACTGCGCTCTGACACCACGAGATGCAGAGCCAACCTTAAGAAATGGGGCTACAAAGTGGAGTCCAGTATATGCAAGTGAGGAAAAGAGCAAACCACAGACCATCTACTACAATGAAGTCTGAGCCCTGCCACATGCACAATGGAGGACCTTCTCACAGCGATGCCAGAGGCACTCCAAGTGGCCAGTTTCTGGTCAAAAGAAATTAAGTATAATGCCAAGTTTTTTTAACGTTGTGGTTTTGTATACATTATAACTGTATTCTCAATTCACTTCTGACACGATAAAAAACAAAACCAAATCTGCTAGAACACAGCCATACAGACCGGAAACCACACAACACACCTTTTCAAATGTATGCAAAGCTGAAACAAGAAAATTGTTCGTGTTTAAATATTTAAAAGAAATGTATAGGATTTTGATGTAATGTAAAGTGCAAAGACGGAGGTGTATTATTTGGCAAGGCAGTCAACAACACGAAGAAGAAAGATCTTTAATCCCCATAGACCAGTACAATTTCCTGGTGTGGATCTAAGCAACTTTTTGGAGCCTGGCCATAACATTTACCCTCATAAGCACACTCTCCCCTCAACCCTCCTCTTTGCCCAGCACCTTAAAAGAGCAGCAGCTAGTTCACCAGTGACATCTTCCACTTCTTCGTTGTTCACCGCAAGAATGTGATCGCCTGGCAGAAGCTTCCCATCAGCAGTGCTACCTGCAAATATCAAGGCTTTGTTAGGGTAAATTATGTTTATAGCCTTTTCTTCTTTAAAATCAGCCCAAATTACTAAGCCAATGATATCTATTTGAAAATCTTTTGAAGGCATGGGCAAGCAAATCAAAGTCAGCAGAATTATCCCACCTAATTAGGGATAGGGAAATTGCAACCTCCGAACAAACCCTCAGAGTCCCCAACTTAAAAATTTGGGGGAGCTTTTCGTCTAAAAACCTTAATGAAAGTCCTCCCGTGTGCAAAAACATATCACCCCAATACATTTCAGTTTTTGTCTGAGCTCCTCTGAAAATTGTTTTAACAGTTTGTACTCATTTAATGCAGTTTTAACAACTGTATGATTGATTCTGTTTCAATATTTATGTTTTGCAGGTTTGAAATGGTATTGTTTTTAAAGTTGTGAACTGCTTTGGGATCTTTCTCAAGAGAGAAAGGAATTTAACAACAACAACAACAACAACAACAACAACAACAAAGCTTTCATGAAAATTCTGGTTGGTAATCTGAAGGAAAATGGGTGCATTTTGATATGCTGGGCAAGGTGCGGTCCGTGGGACAAGGGGAAGGGGGACTGGTCCCTGGCCACCAGAGACATGCTTATCCTGAAAACAATGTCCCCATAGTAACAAGTACTTCTTTCCTAGATGGACTCTTTGAAAAGTTAAAGGTGTGCAATCCTCAACATAGAATGTTGCGTCATTTGGAAATTTACTTTTGAAAAGCAAATAATTGTCTAATTTGTTGTAAATGAGCACGCCTCCCCCTTTTTGTGTGTGTCAGGAGCGACTTGAGAAACTACTCTTTTGGTGTGAGATAACTGGTGGTCTGCATGGATGTTACCCAGGGGACGCCCAGATGTTTTACTATCCTGTGGGAGGCTTCTCTCATGTCCCCACATGAGAAGCTGCAGCTGACAGACGGGAACTCACCCTGCCCCCGGATTGGAACTGCTGACCTTTCAATCAGCAGTCCTGCTGGCACAAGGGTTTAACCCATTGCGCCACCGGGGGCTCCTCAGTAAATGCAAGTTGCTTCTGGTGTAAGAGAATTGGCCATCTGCAGAGACGTTGCCTAGGGGAGGCTCGGATGTGTTACCATCCTGTGGGAGGCTTCTCTAATGTCCTTGCATGAGAAGCTGGGGCTGACAGATGGGAACTCACCTCGTCTTGCAGATTCTAACTGCCGAACTTTAGGTCAGTAGTTCAGCCGCACAAGGGTTTAATCCATTGCACCACTGGGTTTCTACACTAGTATCTTATTATTATCACTGGATGGAGGAAAACCAATTTGTTATCTCAGTTCTTAGAGCATTTATTAATGGTTAATTCTGTGTAGCCTCTTTTTAAAATCCATCAGTAGATGTGGGAGGCAAAACCACTTTTAAAAAAGGAAACACTTTCAGCTCCTCTGAGGAAATGGAGAAATGTAATGGGTAAACATTGCCTGGTACATGGAAAACCAGTAATGACACTACTAGCCATTGCTTTTTCTCTCTTTTTGGGAAAACATTGCCATTATAAAATAATAAGAATCGCCTGCTGCAAAATCCCATTGTCACAGATGGTTGCCTTGTTTTTGTCTTCAGTTTGGCAATTGCAAAACAAGTGATAAAGAGATTTGGGTGAGCGATTCCCATTCCCCATCCCAATTTATCTAAGGTCCTCAAACCTTTTAAGTGGAGGGCTGGTTCATAGTCCCTCAGACTGTTGAGGGGCCTGACTATAGTTTGAAAAAAACTAGAATGGATTCCTATGCACACTGCACATATCTTATTCGTAGTGCACAAACAAGCAAACAAACAAAAAAGAAAGAAAGAAAATACAATATCTAAAATGAAGAATAATTTTAACCAACATAAACTTACCAATATTTCATTGGGAAGAGTGGGTCTGCTTTTGGCTGATGAGATAGTTAAGTTAATTAGGATTGTTGTTGTTGTTGTATGCCTTCAAGCTGTTTCAGACTTAGGGAAACCCTAAGTCTAAAGTTTTGGGCAGGGGTAAACGACTTGGAGGGTAGCATCTGGCCCCTGGGCCTTAGTTTGGGGGCCCCTGCTCTAAGGGAATGTACAAAGTCAGGCAAGTTGTTTTGACAAACAAAATAGAAGATCCAGAAGTTCCTCTCTCCACCCTGCACCTAAAATTATTAGCAATTCGCAGCCCTTTTGTTACACCCAAAACGTGCCGGAATGCATCTGCCTTACTCTGCCTAAAGATAGGGCCTGTCAAGTGAAGGGACTGCTACATATATAGTCATTAGGTGGCTCCATTCAGAGAAATGGATTATTATGATTATAAATAGAGGAAATAAATAAATAAAATTATGAGTATGAGTATGAGTGTGATGGTGATTATTATTATTATTATTATTATTATTATTATTATTATTATTGGTTTGCTGTGAGTTTTGTGGGCTGTATGGCCATGTTTCAGAATGTCTCTCCTGACGTTTCACTCACATCTATGGCAGGGTGAAAACCATCTATGGGTGGGTGAAATGTCAGGAGAGATTGCTTCTGGAACATGGCCATACAGCCCGGAAAACTCACAGCAACCTAGTGTTTATGTGCTGTCAAAGGCTTTCATAGCCGGAATCACTGAGTTGCTGTACGTTTTTGGGCTGTATGGCCATGTTCCAGAAGCATTCTCTCCTAATGTTTCACCTGCATCAATGGCAGGCACCCTCAGAGGTTGTGAGGACCTCAGGAGAGAATGCTTCTGGAGCATGGCCATACAGCCCGAAAAACTTACAGTAACCCAACCCAGTGATTCCGGCCATGAAAGCCTTCAACAACATTCTTATTTTTATTTATATCCCGCTTTATCTCTCCTAAAGGAGACTCAAAGTGACTTACAATTAAAAGTATAACCCCATAATTTAAAATATACATATATATACAGATAAACAAATACTAAGAACATGCTCCTCAAATGACCTGGAATACCTCTAGTGAAGCATATGCTGCAGAAACTATACTGCTGGGACTGGGAGGGTAAATGCACGCCATCAGGTTGTAGTCAAGTACATTCTGAAGGAGACTTCTTTTGGAAGGACAAAGTTCTGTATCCCTCCAGTTTAATCTTTCCATGCCCTTGGGTATCATCTTCCTTGCTGATTACAGTCTCCCCACATTGGAGGGCAGAGGAAACATACTCCTACTCACCTGCAGCAACTGCTGTGATAAGAAGAGGAAGGTTTTGGGAAACCTCAAAGCCATAATGTCCAAGAAGTACATCTTTCTGGACCTCTACTGTGAGTTTCACACGACTTGGAGGTTGACCAATACCATCTGATGGCTTGTCACTCACTGACGCTCTCGCTCTGCACATTAAGGAAAAGAAGATATGAAAGAGTTGTCCAGACCTTCCAGATTTGCTAAACAACATCCACTCTTAAGAAATCTTTCTGTCACCATAAAGATTTAGGTGGCATATTAAAGGACTACCAAGTTGAACGTAGTATGATGTCATTACTGACTACGTGGTGTGGAAAAGCATGGCCTAGTTTGTTTTGTAAATAATATATGGTGTTTCTACACAGCACAGCCACAGACAAGAAGCTTAGTTGCTACTTAGTCTTGGAATAACCAGAAAGCTGTTTACAAAGATACTCATCTCCTGTTTATGTAAACATGGAGTAGCATGTGAAAGCCGAAAGAAAACTAGATACATTGAGATACCTTTCAAAATCAATTTTTGAAGTCTTTTTTTTCTTGGAAAAGAAAGGTTGTTTACATATTTAGTGTCAAAAATCATTTCTAATAATCAATGTAAGATGATGACTTTTATGTACAATTATGTTGACCAACTGTGTTCTAGGATTCCGGAAAAGTATTGTAGGGAAAAGTTATGGGTTCCATAAAAAATCAAATTTAAAATGGATTTTGAAATTAAACTACAGGAGGCCAACAATCTGATTTACAGTCTCGATAGTATTTTGTGCTACAACTATTGCTATCCATTATGTAGTTAGTTACTGGCTTAACATTTCAACAACAAGAATGATTCATGCGTAGTCAATTTTTCATGTTGATGCCATGCTTCTTTTTAAAATTCTTTCTTCTACAATTTTTGAGATAATATTTGCAATATTATTCACAAAATATCAAGAGTAAAAATTACTTAAAATTGGGCATTATATAGGAATTTGGGAGACACATTTGAATTAGCATAAATTAATCCAGAATATATTGGAGTTTGGTGGAGTCACCTTCCTTGGAGGTTTGTAAACAGAGGCTAGATGGCTATCGTTGGGAGACTTTGATTGTGTCTTCCTGTGAGACAGAATGAAGTTGGACTGGATGGCCCTTGGTGCACCTTCCAACTCTATAATTCCATGATTCTATGATATTTTGATTCAACAAATTAGAGATGGAGTTAGGCTTCCATGAAAGATAAATGTCTTTTGAAGGGATTCCATGACTGAAAAGGTTAGGGTATCAGATTTTAATTCTTGGTCTCAGGGTGTATGTACACTGTAGAATTAATGCAGTTTCATCCTACTTTAACTTGTATGGCTTAATGCTATGGAATCATGGGAGCTGTAATTTTACAAAGTCTGAAGCCTTCTCTGCCAAAGACTGTTGAAGCCTCACTCAGGCCCCATCTATACTGCCATATAAAATGCACATTATCTGTTCGGAACTGGATTATCTGGCATTGTAGACTCATATAACCCGGTTCAAAGCAGGTAATGTGGATTATCCGATTTGATAGTCTAGATTATATGGCAGTGTAGATCCAGCCTTAACCACAGATCACTTCATAACGATAGCACTAAGCTATGGCAGTTAAAGTGGTGTTCTTTATCTTCAGGACTTTTGCTCCATTTGTAGCAAAAGACATTTTTTTAAAGTAAGTTTAAATAGTTAGTTTGTGGTTATATTCTAAATAAACTTTAGTTTTATATAACAAATGTTTTAGGCCAAACCAAGTTGTATATAAGATCTTGTTCCTAAAGTGACCAAGTGACTTTCAATCTGTAAAGTGTGCTAATATTTCAAGTTTTTCAATTGAAAAATGGGAAAAAAGTTTTAAAAATGCTTTCTTTCCATGACTTTCTTGATACAGTATTTATAATCAGCAAAGGAAGTCTATGGACTGATTGCTATGTATAATAGGGTTCCCATCATGGCATTTATGAAGTTAACAATACATTTTTTAAAAAAGTAAACTCTTTTAAAGGGGCCCATTTATGAAGGTAACCATACCAAAATGTTTAAAAGGGGTGCATCCTCATCGTCATGTGCAATCCCACCTTGAAGTTGACAGTCTCTCATTAAAATGCCTACCTAGCTGAATTATCTCGTGACCGACGCAGCCATTTTGCTACCATCTGCTCTATCCGACGTGCTTTGCGTGTCTCTAGATCTTCCATTTATCTGTGAGGGGAAAAAGATATGATTCCTTTAGCATGTTCTCAAGTACAAAATCAGGCTCTAGTTCCAAATACTGAACCCAAAGAGTATTATTCCGCATTGAGTCGCCTTTTGGGGCTGAAAAATGCGGTATAGAAATAAAGCAAATAAATAAATAAATATTCAATTAATCATTTTGGAAAGAAGTGGTAAGCACATTGCTTAGAGATACTGTCCTGTGCCCAGCTTTATTCAATATCTGTTTGGATGAGTGAGGGAGGGAAAAAATAGATTTGCAAATAAAACAAAACTACGGAGACATAGTTTTGCTGATCTACCTGAAATCACTTTGAGCTCCTAATTATTCAACCTGACTTACTGCCTGGTGTGACTCTACAGACATCACTTAACCAATATTGAGATAATTTAAATGTGCTCAAAACATTTTTAAAAACCTATATAAATACAAATGAAAGCCTTAGGAACACACTTTGTTCAAATGATAACTTCATGGTTAAGGAAGGCAGAATAGCTCTCACTATTCAGGGTCTTTGCTCTCGCATTTCTACATTAATATGTTTTACTGGCTTAATAGTTCATTATTGCATTATTGCTGGAGTGCTGATGGTCATATCGTTCCATGATGCAAGCTTCAGAGTGCAGCTGTGTTGTCGTGTAACATAATCACAATCTACTAGGCCATCAGACAGAAAGCATTTACAATATCAACAATAATATAAGACACACATGCAATTTTGTCCCATAGAACAGGCGCAGTTTAGCTTTAAATGGCCAAAGATATGGGAAGAGAATATGTTTGTAACAAAAAAAAATTTCAATTTGTAAGATTTTTACAGTGTGATCTGGTGCCAATATTCATATGAACAGAAAATGTAAGAGCTAAACCTATCAGTTTCAAGAGTCCACTCAGTCAGTTTAAACTGATGGCCAAAGACGTCCTGAAATGGCACAAATTATATTTTAATAAATGCCACTAAGAGTAATTTTGGGCTCGAAATGATTAAATATAGAGATATAATATAGATATTTTCTCTAAGACCATTCCGGACGTGGATGGAAGAGGCATGTATGCCAACAGATAAATATTATAGATGAGAACATACTATTTGGATAGGTGGTACTGTATGTCATAAATACTAGCTTTGAGGTCACTTTGGCAGGGACTCCTCCTTGAGCCAGGCAACATTTTTCAGGTCAGGGATATGACTCAGCTGACATGACAATAAAGGCTATTTGCTTTTCTGGGAACAAGGAGCGCATGGATAGAGAAGACAAAAGCCATCTGAATTCACAATGCATCGCGGAGCACTGATCCCTTTACGCTTCCTTGTAACTTTGTGACTGTGGTAGCTGGCATACCCTGTTTGCCTACTGTCTTTTCAACAGATTGCAGAATCTGAACTTTTAAACTTGTGCTCAGTATTCACATGCTGTGCATGGATTCGTTTGGGCCGTTTGCCTTCAGCTTCTTCAGTTTATTCGGCTTGTTAAGATGTCCGTAATGGCAAGTTGTCTGCCACCATGTTTGTTTCAACTGAGCCGGACCACGTGGATGCTGGTTGCAGCTATTTTCTGCTCTATTCAGGATCACATGGCGTGTGGAAAGGCTATCGTGTGCTCGCACAGGGTTTCCCTGTGAGCCATGCCTGTCTGGTCAATCAGAATAGAAGAAAGCCATGACGTGTCTTATGCAAGCTGTGTCCATTTAATGGGGCGAGTGTCTCTATTGCTCAGCTGTGTCCTGGCTGTAGAGAGAGGAGCTTCAGTCTGATTGCCTTGCCGCTCACTCTCAGCTTTAGCTTTTGGCTTGGCTTGGTCTCTCTCTAGCACTGAATCATTTTGACTTTCCTTGACTTTCCTTTATTTTATTGATTCTTTGTTTAGTGGGAGTTGGAAAGTGTGGGTGGGTGAGTGCATTTGGGGACTTGTGGGTGGGTGTGCTTTTCTTTTAGTGTGGTCACTTCTCTTATCTATCCCCCCTCCTCTTTTTCAGAAAGTACTTTTAAAAGATTGTTATTAATAATTATAAGAATTCTAGCAAACAGTAAAGCCTCATTCTCAGAAAAACCTACCTACCTAAAGCTACCACAAATACCTAATAATTTATTTCCTTTGCAATCTCGCCACAAATTCTCTCTGTTGTTTTATTATATTTCTCCCTGCGCTCTCTGCCTTCCTCATTTAATTTAATAATAGTATTTTTGCCGTTGCTGCCTAATAATAAAATTAAAAATTTGGGCTTCTTTGGAAGATTTGCCAAGCCAACAGAACCCATCCTCACTCTCTAACCTCAACCTCCATCAGGAAACTAAAGATTATTGTTATTATTTGTATTCATACAAATTATACCAGCAAAACACCACCTTCCTAAGTCAAGAAATGCAAAAGTTTTGGAAGAAGTTGCTGTCGTTGTTTTTTAATTAGTAAAGAAAGTGTAATAGTGGGCTATGTGACGTGGAAGTGCATCTTTGACATTTGACAAGAAGGACTGGTGCCCTGTTGCTGCTCCTGGAGAAGTTACAGATCAGGGTCCACAGGGGATACCTTTTTCGGAATTTTTAAAGGAAATTTTATTTCTAGAAAGAAAAGTTCCTAAAAATCAGGGGATTGTCCAAACGTTATGGAACTTGGCAGGCCAGCAGTGGTAGATGTGTCCTCAAAGTGTGCCAATTTTCATCCCGATAGCCCTAAACATGATGGGAAGGAGAGCCCATGAACCACCCCACCCATTGCTGTCAATTGGCCGGATCTAGCCACATTTTCCAGCTGCAGACCAAAAACATCTGTTTTTGGGAGAAGCACAATAACAGATCTACAGGTCCACCAAAATCTGGATAGCAGAAATGGCTCAAAGTTCAGCCGAAATGCACAAGCCAATGTTTCAGTGAGAACCAGGGAACACGAGTTGAGGAATATCAGAGTGTTGTATTGTCGATTTGAGTAACAACAGAGTGTTGTTTTGATGACAAAAATGATGAATAAGGAAGAATGCACAAGGAAGCCAAGCCGGCAGCAGTTGACTTTTGCCTGATCCTACTGGGAAAGGCAGGTTCCCACACCCTTCTTTCTCCCCTTTCTCTCCTACTTTTGCATTTTGCACCAGTTTGCGACAATTAAAGTAGGCCAAGGACAAAGGGGGGAAGTGGGAGTAGGAGAGAGAAACAGAAGCTGAAAACATGGGACAACACAGGAATAATCGGGGTTGTCCCTTGCAAAATTTGGACTAGTTTGAGGTTATGCAGCTGTTACCTTCATCCCACAGCTGGAAAATATCTTTGCAAGGTCAGTTTATTCCAAGACTTGCTTATCTCCCGGCTGAGTTCACAGTGTGACTGGAATGGACGAGCTTGGAGGAGGGAACAATTTAGTTCAAAAAGCAAAAATCCCTGCTGGATGTTAATGGCCTTTTAAGTCTTTGCAGAACAGTTTTATGAATGCATAAAATGGATTAGAAGAGTATGGTACTTAGAAGTCCAAAACTTAAAGAGAAAAGTTTATGAAGACTGCAATACAGGGGATCTGGGGACAAATTGTTCTCTTTCAACATAAATATTATATACCTCTAGTCTAGTCTCTTCTAGCTGGGGGTCGGTGAGCTTGCTATTGGGGTGACGAGAAAAAGAAACGGATCCTTAAATGGATGTTCAGTACAGTTTTCTTTTCTTGTTCTAAGACACAGAGCATAATGTAATGGAAACAAAGCCAATTATAGTTTGGAAACTCTTACTAATTAAAGATGCTGGATAAATGGATCATAATTATAAATACTAGCAGTGGTGACCCTGACAGGAGGCCGTTGCTTCAGATGGTGTCATTATGGGAGCAGAGGGGCAGACAGAGGTGACTCATGCAGGTCTATTACACAGGACCTTATTTGTTCCAAAACCCCACTAAAATGAATGGGAGACTCCCAAGGTTTACATTCGTCTGAGGGAATCATCCAATTTTTGTCCAAGACTGACTATACATATGAGATAGTCCAAGATCTCGAATTATACCACCTCTGCAAATCTGATGTGATCCAGATATGCTAGACTGCAGTCACTAGCCAAGTATAGGAATTGTGTTCCAACATATCTGGAAGAAACTAGTTTGGAGAAAGGTGGCTCACACAGTGGGTCAAAGCCCTTGAACTGTGCTCCATCATCAACAGCCAACCTAGTAAACGGTACTTCTGAGCTATGTAATATAAGGCATAATTCTTTCAGCCATATAGAAACCTTCCACACACTATTGAGATATGAATTACTCTAAAGGTGTCAGATTCCATACGATGTTGAAAGCTAATTAGGGTCAACCCTGGTTGACACTTGGATGAGAGACCTCCAACAAATACCAGGTGCTGCATTATTTACGACATTTATATTCTGCCCTTCTCACCCTGAAGGGGACTCAGAGCGGTTTACAAGTAAAAAGTAAATACAATATATTATATTATTATCATAGCTCACTATTCATATTATATATTACATTGTACTATAACATTATCCTGTAATATTATTAGTAATATTACATTTAATATAATGTATATAATTATAATATCATATTATTATTATTATTATTATTAGTAGTAGTAGTAGTAGTAGTAGTATATTGTATTACGTTATAACATTATAAATATTATATGTATATACAATATACAATATATTATTATTACATGTATATACACTATTATATATATATATATATACACACACACATTATTATTATACACACACACACACACACACATACACATACATACACACACACACAATATACAATACATTATATTATATTATATTATATTATATTATACTATATTGACAATATTTCAGGTGAAGGAACTGGCAAAATACCTCTGAGTAAAAAAGTGACTTTATATGTACTCATAAACACAAGACTGACATCGCTGTTTGAATCTCTTTTGGAGGCCTTTTGGAGGCCTATTTGGACCAAGAATGATGGCTAGAAAGGACAGAGCCCTTTCTGTTCTGCAACTGTGATATGATTTGATTTTCTCTCTTGAGACAGTCCTGGAAAGTTTCTTTCATATATTGCAGAAGCAATTTAAATCTATCTAACTTGCAGATTCATTGCTCTGGCAGGCTACTGGGAGTGGTTGATCACATCTTGTTGAATGGAGCTGCTGAGCTTGAGCTAATTGTTTTTCCCCAAGGATATTATTTTTTGTTTTGTTTTAGACAGTCAAATTTATTTGTTTACAACCAAAAATTCATCACAAATCAAGGTTCCATTTAGAACATTAAGAGAGACTTGCTAGCTGAAGAGAGACCAAATAAATACAACCATTAAAGATTGCTATGGTTACAAAGATGGATATCTAGAACAGGAAGCTTGTTAAATGTATTCATAACCATTTATATGGAATGATTGCTAGGACACAAGACAACAACTTCCTGTGATAGCCATTGCGTAATAGTGGCACCCACATTTTTGGGGTCCTAGTTTAGGTATTTCTGTTTTCCTCATGTAATAGTCGCACCCTTGATTTACTGCTCCATCTGCTCACCTATCTGCCTGCCCACCCAAAAGACCTACCCGCCTGCTTCACTTACTCACTTACTCACTTGCCCATCTGCTTGCTGAATCATTCAACCCATCCACAAGCCCACCCACCCCGTCAGTCAGTCAGTCACTCACATATCCATCCATTTGCTGACCATCCCCCTCCAGAATCATTGCTTGAAGCAGTGTTCTTGGAAGGGAATGGTCAGTGGTTGGATAGGTGACGGAGTGAGTGTGTGTAGGTGAGTGAGTGACTGGGTGGGTAGGTAGGAGTGTCTACCCACAGGATCTTGGGGCTGATTTTTTCCTTGCATAATAGTCGCAGCTCCCTTTCTTTCTAAAGAAAATGGGGGAAAAGTTTGACTATTTTGTGCTGAAATATTTTAATTAACATGTATATTTCTAAACTTCCTTTAATGACGGGAATAAATCTATAAGTGTGCCATGTACAAGATGATTAGATTTATTGCAGGGAGGGGGAAGAACGCATTTTTGAATGTGTGTAAATTATAGCCACCTATTTCTCTAGTCCATCTATTCATTCATCTAACTGCCATGGCTCAATGCTATGGCATCCTATGAGTTGCAATTTCACAAGGCCTTCGACTTTCTTGGCCAAAGAGTACACCGGACTCCAACTCCAACAATCCCATAGCACTGAGCCATGGCAATAAAAGTTATGTCAAATTGCATGAATTCTACAGTATAGATGTACCCTAGGTTACAATACAATTGTAATCCTCCTACTGTTTCAGCTATGTGCAAGTTCTGCCATTGAAAGTCGGACATTTTTGCTATGCACAAAGTCCACATTCTGTTTAAAGCTGTAGAAATATATTTCTGCATGTGGTGTCATTGGGCATGTGGATGCGCATTCCTAGCCAATTTGCATCTATCTGTTACTGTGAAATTTGGGCACAGCATGCATTCAGGTTGTTAGAAATAGCAGCCTTCTACAAGCCTCCTATACTAGTTATTTGTTATGTATATAATTGTGATTGCTTACTATATTGTATGTAAACATTGATATGCAGTTTTCCCTTAACTCTATGTTTGAGGCTGTGGGAGGGACTGCAGACCATGTGACCAGATCTGGGATTATTCAGACTAGAGATTCCATTTTAGAAGTCAGTGCAGCATGCATTAGAGTTTGCATAAGAAGCAGTACTGTTCATGAAGTCAGCAGTATTAGTATGCAGTAATTAGTGTCAGTATGCTGCAGTGAGTAGTCAGTCTTTATTGAGTCAATGCTCAGCAATGTATTAGATTGAAGAGAGTGTTAGTCTGTATGTAACAAAGAAGAGATTAAAACAGAATCCTATACAGAACTTACTAAAACAGAATCTAGTGGGGGAGCTTTGAATGCCACTTTCCTGCTTCTTGGCAGGAGTTTGGACTGGATGGCCCATGAGGTCTCTTCCAAATCTGTGATTTTATGATTCTATACTTTGTAAACTATCAACCAATAAGAAATGTACGTGTATGCTGAATACATGAAGTTTGTAAGTAAATAAACTGGGATTCTTTTAACGAAAGCTACCTATTTTTTGTCTCAGAGTGGGGGAGGCCTGGCTCAAGAACAGTATGTGTGAAAAAGATCTTGGAGTCCTTGTGGACAACAAGTTAATGATGAGCCAAGAAAGTGATGCGGCGGCAAAAAAAGCCAATGGGATTTTGGCTTGCATCAATAGGAGTCTAGTGTCTAGATCCAGCAAAGTCATGCTCCCCATGCTCTATTCTGCCTTGGTTAGACAACATCTGGAATACTGTGTCCAATTCTGGGCACTGCAATTGAAGGGAGATGTTGACAAGCTGGAATGTGTCCAGAGAAGGGTAGCTAAAATGATCAAGGGTCTGGAGAATAAGCTCTATGAGGAGCAGCTTAAAGAGCTGGGCATGTTTAGCCTGAAGAAGAGAAGGTTGAGAGGAGACATGACAGCCATGTACAGTATGAATACGTGAGAGGATGTCATAGGGAGGAAGGAGCAAGGTTGTTTTCTGCTGCCCTGGAGACTAGGACGCAGAACAATGGCTTCAAACTACAAGAAAGGAGATTCCACCTGAACATCAGGAACTCAAATATGCATCCAAATGCACACCTGTTTTGGAAAACCAGGAATCTCCAGAGCCTTTTGGAAGCCTGACCCTTTTGGAGATGAATTGGCATTCACACTAAAAACTTCCCTTATGTTCTACTGCTTTTTATTAAGATGGACATGTTACAAAAAGTCATGTTTAGACATCATGATTTCCCCCCTAATTTTATACTCAATTTTTTTCACAAAGTGTAGCCAAAATGGCAAAAGGTGTCAAGCATAAAGAGCCTAGACTACTTTTACACTTTCAACTAAGCCTGGATCTAGACTGCCATATAATGCAGTTTGAACTGCATGGTCAGTGCTGCCTCTTATAATGAAGTTCCAAACTGCAACATATGGCAGTGTAGATCCAGTCTCTGTTTGCAGTAAGCAGAAACAGCGGGGGGGGGGGGGGGGGGGGAGATGAGGAGACAGGAACTGGAATATTTTAAAGGCAAATAAAAGAGTAAGACAATAGAGAATCAACTGGGAGTGTTCCTTTCAAACTGGTATGCTATTTGCCTTTCTTTCATTATGATGCATTCTTCTAAGGGGCTGGGATTAAGACAGCAGGCTAAACCACTATGCTGCAGAAAAATCTTACTGATCAGAAGGTAGGCAGTTCAATTCTGGGTTGGGGTGAGCACCTGCCGTTAGCCCCAGCTCACCTAGCAGGTCAAAAGCAGAAATGCAGGTAGATAAAATAGGTACCACATTTAGCAGGGAGGTAAAAAAGGCGCCCTTAGGATATTGATCGGAGGAAAGCTCCTCGGCATGAAAGATGGAGCAACAGCTCACACCTCTCCCCACTATGGCCGGAATCGGGCACAGCCTCCAAGATGCCAGAAATAAGATGGAAAAAACGCCTTTACCTCTGTTTGTGTTGTCTGTCCTTGTTAATTGTATAATCAGCATTGAATGTTTGCTGTGTGTTCTGTAAGCCGCTCTGTAAATAATAAAATAATAAATTATTAGATGTGATCCATGTGATTTATTAAAACTATCATTATACTTCTGTATTTACTCATGTACAGTATAAAACAATCTCGTGTATTAGATGAGACCACATTTCGGACCCAGCATTCTAGATTTTGATGTGACCTGTTGATAGATAAGTCAAGGGTCATTCGGTGGAGAGAGGAAAGCTGCCCCTGATTGCTGCCATTTTCCCACCTAGACATTCAAAAGGCCAGAAGTGATGCCACAATAGTGGTGGTTGCTGCTTCTTTTCAGTTCGCCCAGGGCAGCCTAAGGTCTTGCCTTTTGTCTCTCTACCCAGAGAAATGGATCCCCCCCTTTTAAAATAAGAGCTAAGATACAGTACTCACATGGACCAATATTTTTGAGGTTGACTTTTTTGTTATTTTTTTTTCTAGACTTATACATGAAAATGTACAGTCTGTCTGATATGATGACCCTGTGGATTCCTGCACATAACAACGAAAGGGGGTTGCCATCGGTGGTTGACTTTGATACCACCAAGAGAAAAGAGGGATGACTGAAGTATATGACATTGAAGATTGGCACGATGATGAGAGATCACGAAGCATCGGAAAAGCTAGACAAGGTATTTTTCGCAATCTGTTTAGCCGCACCAAATGTGCTACTTTCAAAGCAAGACACTTTTGACAGAGCCCTGTTCAAAACCATCCAAATGACATTTAAGATCACCAAGAGACAAGCTTCTGCTACAGTACAAACAATTCAGCAACTATTCTTTCAAAAACAAAGGTGTGTCTGCCTTTGGGCTTCGTGTTTTGTCTTATGTACAACAGATTGGTTAATATTGCACTTCAGAGAGCCAGGGAAAGAACAGTGCCCAATAACTGAAATCTTTGCTTAGCAGACTGAGATCATTATACACTTTTCCGGTGCTGTGAATAGTCTCATTTTGGCCGAAAGCCAAGGGGCTTGAAAGCTTTAATCTCCTATTATCAGTGAGAGTGTGACAGCATTGTTCCCAGACTGTGGTGCATAAAGGATCTGACAAGTTGAACATGGGTCCTCTAAAGATCTCTGTGTGCCAACTGCTCCCTGGAAATGTCCCAGCAAAAACTGTCACATTTGGCAACTGTCTGAGCGGTTCCTGCATTCAGGCTTGCAACAAAGCACTAATTCTTACTGGATTTGTGCACAAGCTACATAAGCTATAATTTATGTTATGGGACGGCAACTGTGGGGCCCTTGGCTAAGTGAGAAGTTAACAAACTGCAAAAAAAAAAAATGCTGAAAAAGCACACCAACAATAGGAAGTTGCCATCACTCAACCTAGTTTTGAAAACCATTGTCTTAATCCAACAACAACATCAACAACTGTGGCATCGACACCGAGAACTGGGAAGCCCTGGCCCTTGAGCACTCTAACTAGAGGTTAGCTGTGACCAGCAGTGCTGCAGAATTCGAAGCGGCATGAATGGAGGGTGAAAGGGAGAAACGTACCAAGAGGAAGGCACATCAAGCCAACCCTGACCAGGACCGCCTTCCATCTGGAAACCGATGTTCTCACTTTGGGAGAACATGCGGATCAAGACTAGGGCTCCACAGCAAATGTCAAAATATATCTCTATTAGGACGCACCACCACAATAAAAATGACCATTCTGCCCCAACTACTATTCCTCTTCCAAACTTTGCCAAGAATTAGAAATGATCACCTATTTAAAAAGTGGAATTCGGATATAACAAAATTGATTTGGAAAAATAAAAAATCAAGAGTAAAATTAAAAATATTGACGGACGATAAAAAGAGAGGCCTAGGCCTCCCGGACTTCAAAGCATACTACGAAGTCTGTAATTTGGTATGGTTAAAAGACTGGATCACGCTCAAAAACACTTTTTTTTTTGTCGTGTCAGGAGCGACTTGAGAAACTGCAAGTCACTTCTGGTGTGAGAGAATTGGCCATCTGTAAGGACGTTGCCCAGGGGACGCCTGGATGATTTTGATGTTTTTATCATCCTTGTGGGAGGCTTCTCTCATGTCCCCGCATAAGGAGCTGGAGCTGATAGAGGGAGCTCATCCGTCTCTCCCTGGATTCGAACCTGCGACCTGTCGGTCTTCAGTCCTGCCGGCACAGGGGTTTAACCCACTGCGCCACCGGGGGCTCCTCAAAAACACTAAGTTATTAACACTAGCAGGTCGTGATCTCCGAGCAGGGTGGCACGGCTATCTATGGTATAAGAAAAGGAAGACCGAAAAAAGAATTGTCAGAGCATCCTTAACTAGGACCTGGGAAAAATATAAAATAAGGCTATATGACAAAACTACATTATGGATCTCACCAACTGAGGCAAAGCACAAAAGAGAATTAGGAGAATATTCATGGCTTACATATCAATTTTTTTTTTAAAAAAAAACGAAACCAAAAAATTAACAATCAAGACACACAAAGAAATTAAACAAGAATACCAAAAGATAACATGTTTCCAGGATTACCAAATACTTCAAGAATATAAGGAAGACGCAAAAATAGGCTTTAAACAAGAACAAGGCATATGGGAATTGACAATTGAAAAAGAAAAGAAAATAATTAAATTATTATACCAACAATTACTACAATGGACAACAGAAGAAGAACAAATAAAAGAGTGCCAAGTTAAATGGGCAAAAGATCTAGGACACAATACTTATGCAAGCCAGTGGGAAGATATTTGAAATACAAAAATTAAATTTACCACAGTGAGAATTGGTATAAAATTCAATTCAGGTGGTACTACACTCCTTCAAAAATATCAAAATTTAATAAACAAATCTCAAATAGATGTTGGAAATGTGAAAAAGAAATAGGAACATTTTTCCATCAATGGTGGACGTGCAAAAAAGTAACAAGGTATTGGAATAAAGTCCATCTTATAACTCAAAACATATTAAAAGTTAAATTTCCCGATACCAGACATCTATTTACTAGGCCTAACAAGCTCATAATTAAATGAAAACCATGACAAAATGTTTTTTCTCATGTCTACAGCTGCAAGATAAACTCTAGCCAAAGTGTGAAAACAAAACAAAGTGCCAACAACTGACGAATGGATCTTGAAATTGTTTGATTTTGACTGCTTGTCACAGAAACTAAAAGACAGAAGAAAGAACACAAACTGGTCAGGCTTTAAAGTTTTATTCAAAACAATGGAACAACACTTATAATAGATCTATCCGACGTATGAAAAGCAAAAATTGCAGAAGACAAACTGGGAAAGACAAAAAGAAGATAAACATCCTACCCATAAAATGGAGGAAAGTGGGAAGCCGTACACTCACTGCTGTTTTTTTCCTATTTTTTAAAATCTTTTTAAATATTTTATTTTTTTCTTCCTTCTGCTCTTTTCTCTTCTTCTCTCTTCCCCTTTCCATCCCTTCCCCTTTTTTTCCACTCCCCCTCCCACCCCTTTCCCCCTCACTATCCTATTTTAATACCTCATCCACTTTTGTTGTAAATATTTCTCAATAAAAATTACTACTACTACTACTACTACTACTACTACTACTACTAATAATAATAATAATAATAATAATAATAAAGAATAGGGTTCCACAGCCACCTACGGACCCACCACCAAGACACCACATCTGTATGACTGTCATCCTAGAGCTATGAGGGACTGCCTAAGTAAATAATAATAATAATAATAATAATAATACTTTATTTATATCCTGGCCTATCTTCCCGAGGGGACTCAGGGCAAAGGGACCATGGTGTCAAAAGCAATTTATTTTCATGTCTGAATTTTTATTTTTTAAGGGTTATACCAATAAACAGCCTGGATTGTGGGTTTGCTAATGGACTATAAACCTGGAGACCATGGTTGAAATTCCCACTCAATCACAGAAACCCAATGGGGATGTCACATTCCCTCAGCCTCAGAGGAAGGCAAAGGCAAACAAACCCCTTTCTGAACAGATCTTGACCACACACCCCCCCACACACCCCCATAACCATATTTTTTCATATGTGATGGTCCTGCCTTATCAACTGACATATTTCATCAACAAATCATATTTGAGAAAGAATGGTGGTCACTGAACATAGCAAAGTAGCCATGTAAGGAGCACATTCTTGGGAATCACAGCAAGTGACTGATCAATCAGTAGTCCTATGGATATAATATGGTGCATCCCATTGCCTGGAACTATCTCATTGACTTACTTAGGTTTTCTAGGTGCTTTATTAAGCCAAACGTGGTTACAAAGTGCAAGCCCTTGCAAACAAACTGCTGAAGTAAGTGGATGCTCCTGCAATGGAAGATTGCTCAGCGTTTCAGTGCATATTGATCACTCTGTCAGGATCTTTCCAAAGTTCTTCTGCTTAAAAGGTGGAACGACTTCTGTTTATTTGTTTTTCTCCCCCAGGATGGAACCCAGGTCTCACACTTGGCTTAGAAGAACAGAAACACTCCAAATGTTAACCTCATTTCCTCTAATGGAAAATTTGGAAATGTTTAACCATGTTCCATCTTGCCCTCTTGCCTTCTCCCCTGAGCTGTACTTAAGCATTGAAATCTGATGGCTAAATAAGGATCAACAAAAGGAAAGCATCTGCTACAAACCGCATCAGGTTCACATTATGGAGTTGGATGGAAAACTATATCTAAGTTACACTAAGCAAAATATAATTCAAGATGTTTCTTGAACTCTTGTTAAGAGGCTCCACTGGACAGCTGTAAGGAGACTCCAGCAAGGGAAGAAGCTGAAGAAAGTCAGGTTGCTTACCTGTAACTGCCTTTATTTGAGTGGTCATCCATGAAATTCACACACAGGTATGCATTTCACAGATACCTCGAGGAATAATGGTGGTTTATTTTACTTTGCTATGATTAAGCATCGGAAAACAATGCCTCAATTGTGGTCAAAGTTTGCCGCAAATCATGCCCAGAGTTTCACATTGTGAGTATGATTTTCAAATAAACTTAAGGCAGTTTCTCTATTTATTCATCGTGGTATGAATTTCACAGG